ACATTTTATTAAACACATTTTCTAAGTATATGTTGACCTCGCGTGTTAATTAATTTAAATGAACATATCATTAATTTACTGTGTGCATTAATAAATCATAGTGCCCTAGTTATATTAGCCCTAAATATGCGCTTGGCAAGTAAAGCCTTCATATCCATGAAAAACGTTAGAAGCAATGACAGATTAAGGGTTTATATCCACGATATCGCCACTTATTTACAGAAATTTATATTAAGTATCCTTCCGTTAAATATGTTTTTCAAGAATTCAACGCAAGCGTATATAATTTACAATACTCGACGTTTCAAGCGTCAACGTTTGTGACATGACTGTACGTTCATATCCGTCATAAAATAAAAAATAAGTCTTAAATTGGCGGAAACCAAATATAATGTATTTATTTTAGCAAGGGTTACAGCGAAACACATGAGACATTGGGGTTGCTCTATAAATTAAATTTGGCTAATTGGATTTTTTAATTTAAACTAAATTCGACCATAACAATAAAGCTGGAGTTATAAGAACAAGTAAATATAGGCACTATAATAATTATATAATAATAGAACTGTATCGTAGGCAGTTTCATAATGAATAAGAATACTCTGAGTAGAAATGATTTTTGAATAAAACTAGATTGTAAGACAGTCTCATTAATTATTTTTGTCATGGGTAAGGAAAATCACTTTGCCAACTTCCTTTATTTTGGACAACGGATTTAGTTTGCATTCCGTCAACGTCTCTCGAAGGACAGTTGCAATTTTCAATCCCATTGTTTGATATAAGTATACCAATCATAGATATAGGTATAATATCATACTCATTTTAATTTTAGTATGACATTATGGTGATAGACGCAGTGTGGGTCTAGTGCCTTCAGCATACGACTCTCTAAGGTCGTAGGTTCCATCCCCGGCTGTGCACCAAAGGATTTTCTGTCAATGCCCGCATCTAACACTCTCATGTTCGTTGGTCTAAGTCTATTATGATGTTCCATATATCTTAAACGGTTATTATTAACTCAGTAAACCAGCGGAATATTTATGCCTTCATATAATATCACCTAAGACTGAACTGTTCCTACCCCATTTAACGAAATTCTTACCATTTATCAAAAATAATTACTAATATAATTATTATATTTTGGATTCTATAACTAGAGTTCTTTTAATAAGATAGAGGGATTTTTTATATTAATTATATTGAAAAAGATGTTTTGACGGGACGGGAGCTAACATGTAGCTTACACGACATGAGAGACAGCCGTGAAATAGCGTCACTGGAAAAATTATTTCTGTATCGTAGAATTATGATGAGTAAGAACTGCGTCATACAACTTTAAAAAGCTTTCGTGTTTCATTCTCCAGTCATTAGATATATATATATAAATTTAAAATTTCTTAAAAGATTCCTATAATGTGTAAAAAGATTACAACTATTTTACAATAGAAGATAAAGATTAATAAATATAATTATATATACCTATTATGGTTTGTTAATTGAGACACAAATGTACTTAAAAGGCAGTCTGTGTCACACAGACTAACAGTTAGTTAGCAAATTTTTTACAACTACCACCTAAGACTGCTATTTGGTCCACTGAGTTCGACGCAGAAATCCAAAAGGACCTAAGTTCTATAGTTTACAAATATACATAACCATAACCTTATTTCACAGAGTTAAGCAGAAACCAGTGGGCAGAACAGGCTTGTGTTAAGTATTGACAGCTTTATTGTTGTAAATTTTAATTAACAATTTTATAAATAAACATTTCTTGGCGCGTTCTCCTATAAGATATAATATGAAACCGCAGAAACTACGCCAGTTGCGACACATAGGTCCCTATTTTAGATTGAATTTGGATCAAGGACAGTTCCAAAAAGTACTTAATTTGACACTAAACACTACTAAAATACAAATGTTTACTCATCAACGTGTAATTTTTACGGTCTATAATCAGGTTTATGAGGACATAAAGTATAAAGTCATAAGTATTCATTGATATTTGGCGTCGCTTATTTGTTGTTGTAAGAATAAAAATGGTAATTCCAGCATATGTTGATGTCAAGTATATGAATTAAACAAAAGATTTGCTACCAGAAGATCTTAGATGAGTAAGAGTTAGTGACATGGTTTGCCAAAAAGGACATCGTCACCATAGAAAATAAATCATAGTACCATAGGCCACAGTTCTGGCTGTGATTAACAAACTTTCAAACCTTGTCACAGCTTCATTAATAAAGCATTCTTTTGAGCGACCGACAATGCATAGTTAACAAAATAGAAATAGAAAATAATCTTCATAGCTGAACCAATTATAATTTGGCTTATTGAATATCAGTATTACAATACTTCATATAGAACAACAATTGCCATTATATATCTATTCCGATCTATTCTCAGGTGAACGTATGTTTCATTTAAACAAAAAATTTAAGAATGGCCACGACTGATTGAAGGTTGTGCTGCTTCAATACACTCGGTTAAGTACAAGGTCTTTTCAATCTATTTATGAACATTTTCCTTGCCAAATTTCTATATTAAGAAACCTAAAGTTTTTTTATCGTCAATGTAAGATATGTTAGAAAAGCTTTGCTCGGTAACGTTCTATTTTAAAATTGAGTATAACAAAAGAGTTTAGAATTGCAAGTATAATTTTTTTTTCTTGGACGTAATTGAATTAAAGGGTTATAGATTACCTAGAGTTTAATCTGTTTTAGAATGAAATACGACAGTTTTGCTTAATTTAATAATAACATTTACGTAATATGGGAAATTATATTAACGTAAATAAAAATTTCTTTATTTCATCGGTTGTTGTTTCATCGAATGTTAATTACTAATCTAGTTAGTTTTCAACGAAAGTTCTAAATATCGGTTTTGGGTTACTAGAAGTCGTTACTACGTTAAAATCAAATACCAATTTCGTTTTTCGTACGTCAAAGCCTATGACGCCATATTGTAAGAACAGTGTGCGCTATGACAAGTGAAAGTGGTCGGTCAACTCCTGAGGAAATTGTTATGCTCATAACTTTTTGGTCTTTCTCTTTGGCGCCATACACGACAGAGACAAAACACATTAAAGATTGTTCCGTTCAAGTTTCCGATGATGTTACTTACTTAAGGTTGTTTCCGATTATGCAACAAGAAAGAATTCGCAGTTTATCGCGTTGTGTGAATTCCTTTGTATGCAAATCACTTTTCTTGGAACATGGTATTGCTTTTTTGGGACCCACTCTTTTACATAATACCAATAGATATTATTTTTCGCCTCTGTTCTCTATTACAAAAGCACAGTGCATAATACAGTTGCTTCTATTACACAGTGGTTAGTTTCCACGCGTTGTAAGACGCGAAATGTGTCAGTGCCCATTAGGGATTTATATAATTTCGCATGAATACTTTTTTAATGTATAATCGATCAAAAGTCTATGATACATGTTAATTTTAAATACTACTATAAAAGCAATGAGATGTTGTAGTAACCCCTTTAAATGACATGAGGGCTTTGTCTTGCCTTAATTGGCTGTCAACTGTTACCAAAACAGCGAATTAATGGTAAGATATGTCTTACAGTGATATAAACCCTTTAATTCTATTCCAGAGGCATTAGTATGTTATCGAAAAAAAAATTGTAATGGAAATCGTGTTTATTTATAACTAATACTTGATATTATTTTGGTGCTAGGTCATGACCTAAAAGCTTTTAACTGTTCAACCTTCAACAAGCAATAAAATAAATACATGTTTTATAAAAACAAATGATTCCCTTAAATTATTAGATATGTTCGACCGGACTTGCGCAAGAGTGTTGGAAATAAGATCGGGTGTTGTATCTTGCGAAAGTTTGAACGTCACGGGCAGCACGTGTTTCAATTATTAGAAGCAAAGTTTATCAATAATATGAGAAAATGTTATACAATAACATGCAGGAAAGGCAAATAGCAACAGAGAATTTAGTTGTAAAAGTAAAAGTCAAGTAATAAATGTAATTCGGTAATGTTCTTAAAGATTAAAATAATGCATATTCTCGGTAATAAAGAGAGGTACGCGGTAGGATACGTATCTCCAGGAACTGAAGATATTATTGTCTTTGATTTACATAACATAAATCTTAGTTTCCGGTTGGATGTATTATTATTAATATAATTTATTAACTGAAGATATTCTAAGATAAAAAACACACCAAAAATAGCACATCAGCTTGCTTCAGAAGCCCACAAAGGCTGGTGCAACAAACTTAGGCTATTTGAACCTACTCGGGTTTTCGAAAAAATATAAAGCTTAATTATACCTGAATTTATGTATTTAATTGAAATCGAATCAAAAATCATCACTAGACACGGTAATCTTGTCTTCTTTTCTTCCCCTGGCATAAAAACTGTTGGTGATATTGGTATGTTTTTAAGAAAATATGATGTATTTAGCGTAAGAAATGTCTGCACGCGATACAAAGTTTACATTCAGTCCGACGAAATGGGGAATCTCTAACTGAGTCATTATTAAAAATGTGTAGTTTATTTTATCGTTTATTTTTACAGTTTCATTTATTTTCATACGATTTCAATAAACATTTGAAATAAAAATACATTTGGGATGTCAGTTACATTCCGATTATATTTATTACATAAAAGATTTAATAATGAAGCAAGTCATTATTATCTTAAAATCGAATTTTCTCAAAAACGTCTCGTTCTTAATATTCTATACAATACTATCCTGATAATTTGTATATTTTTCTTTTTCATCACAATGTTTAAGTTAGCCAAGTTATATTGTATTTACATTTAGTTTTATTGAACATTATAAAAAAAGAATACAATTTTTAAATAAAAAGTTTTAAATCGTATATGAGGACACATTTTACAAGAATCTCCTTATTAAAGAATTACAATCCAATGACGTTTTCATGCCACAATAGTATTTAATATTTTTTAGGTATTCGACCTTTTTTTGTCTATGTTGTTTCTAGTTATTCTTTTAACCAAATATATTTGTTTTAGGTACTGGAACATTTGGTCGCGTTTGCTTGTGCAGAGACAAAGCGGCGGACGAGTACCTGGCTATGAAGATATTGTCTATGGCTGATGTCATACGTTTAAAACAGGTCGATCATGTCATGAACGAGAAGAATATATTATCAGAGATTAATCACCCTTTTGTCGTTAACCTGTGAGTATACAATCGTTTTTTTATGAAAAATAAAATGGATGATATCTATGTCATCGTCCTATACGATACATTTACGTAGAAAATACATGGGATTAAAAATTAGTGCTCGAAAATATGGCTTGCCTTGGCAAAAAAGATACTTACGCAGATAAGTTATAAGTTATTTGCGAAGGATCGGCTGATTATCGTAATGCCACATACATAATATTTGATCATAGATAAAACGAATTTGGTTCTTAAAAATAGGCGCGAAATTACCATACCATTAATTTAATGCCTGATTGAGTTTAATGAATTTCAGATATATTGCATTAAAATAATTGTAGGCCAAACAAATAATTGTTCTGTGATAATGCTTATCTACTTACAAACACAGTTTGGTTTTATTAAGGTTTACGTCATAATTATCATCTGAATAGTAATGGCTATGAGCGGTAACTATAATTTATTAATAAATCAATGCAATAACATCAATAAAAACGAGTCAAATTCAAATCGGTATAAACTTTCACATAACAATATAATTTATGATCTTCTTCCGCTAAATTAGAAATTTCTTATACTGTTAAAGTTTTTCCTTCGACCATATTAGGTAATGGTTATTATAGAATTTAATTTGATCGCTCACTATGTGGTAAAATACTTACTATGGCCCGCGACTTTGTCTACGAACAATTAGCTTAATAATGATGAAGTATAACTTGATTATGTACTTGCCTTTTGAATAAATATATTTATATATTTACTACTGAAGTATCGACTGGTCTATAGTGAAAATCGAATCGAGAGAGAACCAGATAAACCTATTTTAACATTTTAGTTCATATTTACATTTGGTTTGGTATTTAATTTATTTATGATAATGTATTATCGAACGAAATCGCATTAAGACTATTGTTGTTAACTGTCTGACATAATATAAACCACTACTCCAACATGTAATTGATTTAAAAATAAATTTGTTCTTTTTGCTCACGTAGCGTGGCAATGTTTGCCAACTCTATAAATCAAAGATTACAGCAATTACTATGGTTCTTATTACAAACTACAACCTTAACACTAATTAATTAGTTATGTAAAATGCATTCGTCACGTCATGCAGCTATAAGCAATGAAACTAAATCTTGTATGTTTCCTTAATCATATTTTTACAAATAAATAAATAAAAAGTAAATTTTTAAGTTTGTAAAGCCACCAATTTTGTAAAGATGCTAAGCCCGCACGAACTACTTACTGTATTTAGATATTATAAAAAAAGTTAAATATGTTTTAAAGTTTAAAAAAGGGTTACACCTACCAAAACGTTTTTATTATTATATGGTGATTTTAGCAATCTAGCTTTATTGTAAAAACAGATGAACCTTTCTAAACCGGACAGAATCTTGTTTATTGTATTGTCGTGTCCTAATCGCCGAAACAAATGACGTACGTAAATTAGCAGCAATACCTGTGTACAAATTAATTTGTGAAATAGACAATACTAGCTCAAGCTTATTTTTTCTTAATGTACCATGTGATCGGCCACAAAAACTGTATATTTGTCTTTCTTGAAGACTATAGAAGAAAATATGTTAATCCCAATCTATGATTTCAATGAAGTTCTTTGTTTTAGACGGTGGTGGACACATGACGAGTCGTGCATATATATGCTTTTCGACTATGTGTGTGGAGGCGAGCTTTTTTCATATTTAAGAAATGCTGGCCGGTTTAGTAACAATATAGGTAAGTTTTCTAATATTTAAAGGTCTTTTTATAACGTACATTTCTAGATCACAATTTAATATTATATAGGAGTATTATCTTAACAAATCGTTACTTAACATTACTAAAAATAGCGAATTTTTTTGTAAAGTGCGCTCGGGATAATTACCAGCGAATGTTTACCCGGTTGACGGCGCACATACGTATTCAAGATTTGTGAAAACAGAACAGTCGTGCTGTGATTTAGGAAAACAAGTACTATTAATCTGGAGATACGCAAGAGCTTATTTCTGGAGGAAAGGACAAGAGCAAAAATAGTCGGTCAATGACGCGGGTGTCTGAACGTTGGCTCGTGTTGAAAACCGACACTGATCGTCAGACACATAAAAATTTACGGACATTGAGTGGAACAATACTGGGAGACATATATTTGTGGTTCAGTTTATTTGCGTGATTAGGTGGCGAAAGCGGCAGACGTAGTGACGCCTCGCTTGAATTTGCGCACGCGCACCAACCCGGGGTTCTCCCGTTGACACACATTTTCGTTCTTTATTTACTGTGCCCTCAATAATTTTACTTATAAAATTAAGGGCAATTACACCAATAAAATAATTTAGTTTAAATCGTTACAGTCGGTAAATGTAAACTGAATAAATATATCGCGTTTATATTGTGATTTATGTATTGTCCGGATGTTTTCACTAGGTTGCAAATTAATCATAATAAATCTTTGATGTTCTGAGAAAGACGCAAGTATTGTAATCAAATAAGAAATATAGAGATTATATTCGTAGATTCTTTCAACGAAACTAAACAACATTTTATAGTTGGGCGTAGAGCTTTAAGCTTACACGAGATTTTAATAAGTAGTAGAGTATGAAGGCTTCAATATATCATCCTAAAAGGGTGATATCATACCCAGTTAGAATCTTAATGACGCAGACATCTCCCACGCTGCTGACTCACCCTTGATAAGTCATTAGGCTGTTTCATTCAACACGAAAATTTGTTTAGTTTCAAATTGTTAAATATATATAGGAAAAGTTATGTACTACACAAATAATTTAGGAATCCTAGGTCTTAATGATATTTTTATTTTAAGATGTAATGCTTCAGTCATTAGTAAACATAGAATAATTGCAACGTCTCTGCACGACGTTTGACGGAATTAAACGACTAACATTTGGCAACGAATCTGTTTTCGTTTTTGTGTAAATAGTGTAAAGTTTACACACAGTTCAATGTTAGAGAAATGTTATCGAATAGTTATAATTGAGACTGTGAACTAATATTAAAGTTATAATAATAATAGCGTGTTATTCTTTCAGCCATAGAAAATTAGAAATTGTTGTGAATGTAGCATCTGACCTAAGGGTCACACTAAATCGTATGCGTAATGGAGAATAAATTACTTTATGTCGTTAACGTGTTGACTATACGACGTTTTTATTATATTCCTAAAGACATCTTATTACACGTAGTAATACTCGCGATATAAAAATGCGATAAAAATAATTTCAGGGAAGTTCCATATAAAAAGATAATGGATTGCGAGAAAAATTTATGTTTCCGTACTTAAGACACATATCTTGTTTAATAAAAAAGCTATGTGTTGACAAATTAATTTGGTATGTTTTTATATAATTTTTCATAGACTCTGGTTGATTCAATCACAGGCAAATTATATTGTTAAACACACAACATACTTCTGTGGTTCAACAACAAGCCTTATTTGGGGCTTAATAGTTTAAAAAATATAAGTGTTTAGTAGCACCGCGATGAATTCACGCATTACACTTTTTTGAAATTGAAAGAGTCCATGGGCGGCGGTATCACTTAACATCAGACGAGCCCCCTATCAGATTCGCCCCTGTTCTAAAAAAATGCCATTCTATAAATTTTACCCATAAGGTTCTGTCATCTTAATAAGAGTATTAAGATGACATATTGCAGGGTTGCAATTGTTGGTTGGCATTGTTGCAAAACAATTTATGTTTCAGCAAATTTCTATGCAGCTGAGATAGTGTCAGCGCTAGAATACCTTCACGCCCGCAACATCGTGTACAGAGACTTGAAGCCCGAAAACTTACTTCTAGCAAAAGATGGACACTTGAAGATTACAGACTTTGGTTTCGCGAAAAAGCTCACGGATCGTACATGGACCTTGTGTGGAACGCCAGAATACCTAGCCCCAGAAATTATACAGAGCAAAGGGCACAATAAAGCTGTAGACTGGTGGGCTTTAGGTGAGACTAAATTAATTTCTTGTAAATAAATGTTCTTTAGTTATCTTATACAACAAAGAAACTAAAGCAACAATGTCGAATAAGGTTGGGTTAGAACTATCCACGATGTTATATTTCAGTGTGGGTAGGCATGTGACCGTTCTTTAGGTCAGGTAATATAACAAAATCGATGTTTCGCTTTATTTTGGAATAGTTAGCCAATCAAATTTTCTTAATACGTAGCAGGTAGCTTGGAGTGTAGTGTTAGATCGCGTGTTGTTTACATTATCATTATTTCATGTTCCAATTAAATATAGTTCTATGTGACGGCTTTATAGTGGTGCCAAGTTGAATATAATTTATTGCTTACAGTCTCATCTGTGCTTGTAACTCCTTAAATCCTTGGCACAAGTACATAGAACTACGGTCATTATATGACACGTGTTATTGTCTAGACAGGAATCATCTATATTTATTATCCTTCAAGTAATTATTTATTTATATCATATGTGTGATGTCTCGTGTCCTTCTATGAAATCGTTAGAAATCAAAATTTCTATACTGGAGGAAACAGTTCGTATATTTTTCCGAATAAAACCTATATTTGTTTACACGATTATTTAGACGTCGAATGCATCGTTCTATGAAATATTTATTCTTTACTTTCGATAAACAAACTTTCTTATCTAAAGTAAAGTTGTTGCGTGATTTTATGTTCAAACAGTTGAACCAATTTGATTTATCTGTATTTGACCTTGAATACATTATGATATGCGATATTACAAGTAATAATAAGTTTCCCAAGAACCGCTGATATTCACTAGGTACCTTACATACCTCTCTAGCCTCCTCTACTCTGAAAATATGCACCATACACGCTCGTCAGTTGTGGGTGCTTTTGATCAGACCTTCAAGAACATTCCTAAATCAAATATGTTTCGGAAACGTATAAGGTCTATTGTAGTAGGATCTGTATAGTAATGTAACATATTATGATTGTATTATATTATTTTGTAAAATAAAGGAATAAAAAAAAAAAAAAAAAAAAAGAAATATTACCTATTCTCTTACAGGCGTGCTTATTTACGAGATGTTGGTCGGTTATCCCCCGTTCTACGACGACAATCCCTTTGGAATATATGAGAAGATACTTAATGGCAGAGTTGACTGGCCGCGCCACCTCGACCCGGTTGCCAAGGATATCATAAAGAAACTGTTAGTGCAAGACAGGACGAAAAGACTCGGAAATATGAAGGTAAAATACGCGGAAATTGGCACTTGATTTTACTTTGTCAATATTGTTCTTTGTACAGCTTGTAGCTTAGTAGTAATCAGCAAAGTTGACAATACTTTTCGTGACGATTTTAAGTAGAATGGAATATACATACGAAATATACTAAACTCTTGTGCACTATATCGTTTTTATCTAATTATCTGGTCTTTTGAAGTATTATTTATTTACTATAGTAATACTTTGTGTAACTTACCTATTTCATAAGATTGATAAAATTATTTTTTTATGAGAAAACATGTGTGAAGTGATTCTCGTGATAATTTTTCAAAAACGGTTTACTAGTAAAAACCTTTATATAAATCATAAAATTGGGAAAGCTCATACCGTTGTGTGCTCGCGATTATATTATTAAAAGCTGAATATTTTTTATTACTTTTAATTTGAAACGGATCCAAAACAATTGCTTTTGGTCCGGACTCGATCCCAGATCTGTATAACCCGGAAGATGACACGTATTGTCTGTAACTTAGCAACGCCACGTAGGCGTCATTCATTGTAGATTGTTTTTTTGACAATGACATTTAGATAAGTGTTTTAAAATAATATGCTACTCAAGTTACCAAATAAAGACTTTTAATATTTGCGTTCGTGTATTTTGCAAGACTTTTTACGATTTCTTTTAATATGTTCAAAACCTCAGTAAAAATACATGTAAACTAAATATCAATTGAAAATCGTATAAAAATGCGTTCGGTATTTTTTAGGTTTATCGCGTTCATCACAGACCGACATTAATAATATGTAAGGATATATCATTATTACTAGCCATAAAAGCAGCTATAAAAGAACATAAATACCAAGGGCACATTTTATACTTAGTAGAAATTACTTGATAAGTTTTCTATAATTGTATTACATAACACATAATTTGCGTACGACTGTAAGATATGAATTGCATTTTCGCTCCAAACATATTTAAATCAATTGAGTTTACACAAAAATATTGCGTATCAGTTTACAATTGGCTTGTCTCCAGAATATTGCTATAAGTAGAGACCGTTTCTAATCAAGATAGAGATATTTTCTTCAATAATAACAAACTGGTTCTCTGAAATTTACAATCGACTTTAATATGCATGTTTATATCTCCAATATTATTGAACAAGCGTGATTACTAATCTAGTTAAATCCTAACTACTGTTTATAACATGCTTTATAGTCTTACTGTTATTGTTTGTACAGTTTATTCATTACTGTACCTGCAATCGTTTGCGTGAGTTTACTACGCATCCTTAATTCACAAATCAAATTCAGTGAAATTCATAATTTTCAACTGTGAGACGGTAAATTATTGAATAAAGGAGTTTTTGATATGATCCAGTAACATTTTGCTAAACAAGTTTCAACAGGCTCGCGATTAAAAGCTTTTATTGTTGTACTAAGGAAATATTATTATAATTATTAAAAATATCTTTAAATCATATCTTACTTCTCTTCCATCAAATTTTAATGTACCAAAAGCGTTGCTAGAAGCTAAGATTATTCCACTTGCAAAAACGCAAAATTATTTATCAAGGATCGGATTGTCTGGAGTCTAAAACCGATCAGAACGTTCAACTTATTGGATAATTATTAAAATATTGTGGGAAATAAAGGAGTTGAGTTAACGAACACCATTTAAAAATCATCAAATTAAAAAGCGCGGGTCTTTTTACGTCTCTGCGTCATCATAATTGTTGACCATTAAGTGCCGGTATATTTTCTATCATTCCCTATATGTACACAAGGTAGTTTCTAGTGGACACACGTTTTCTCTTAGCTTTTTCTGCGATGTCGCCAAGATATTTAGAAAGCTATCCGTCAAGTCATCGGCGACATCAAAGATCAATGAGTTATGTCGTATGTCTTGACTCTTGTCACTAGATGCTGTCTTCAAAGCTTTATCCTATACATATAAATCCTATTAAAAACGTTTAATGATCAAAGTACAATATTTAATAAGTTCTCACTAAGGAGACTGGGTGAGATTCACCTTCGCAAAGTCATTATTAAAACCTTTATATATTGTAGCTATCGGAAATTTGATTTTTAAATACGTTTTTTAAATGGTGCCAGATATAAAGGATCCCGTTGAAATAAAAAAATATCTATTTAAAAACCCCGACATTGCCCGATGCGGTCGCAGTGCTAACAGTCACTAGTTATAATTTTTTTTCTGTAATTACAAATGTGAAAGTAGCTATCTGTAGTAGTCTATATGGCTATCATATATCGATATTGTTGTGAAACGCTTTGTAAGAAGTGTTCGGTTCTGCTGAGATTCAATCACAGGCCTTTAAATTTCATGGCTATGAATAAACCACTTATTACCGATAATTTACGATGGCGGCTTGTATGACATTCCTTCTAGTTATTAGCGAGACCAAGATTCTAGTGCCCTGCACTTGAGGGTATTGTGAAACCCGATTAATTGAATTTATTCAGTAAACGTGCTTAGACAAGCTAATCGCTCAGATCCGCTCCATAAAATTTCAACTTTACGATGTCATTTGCGTAGTGCGGTGCCTAAGCCAAATAACAGAATTGCTCTAATTTTAGCAGCTATTCAGTGCTTCTGTGATTGATGTATGGTACAATTGTTTATCGTTTCAATGGAGACGATTTGATTTATTTGTGTACTTTTATGACCGAAGTTCAATCTCGACTTTCATAGTATGACGTCAGTACATTATGGCAACACTGTGCGATTTTTAAATTGTTTATTTATATTAATAGAACTTTATTTTATGATGCTTCAAAGTGCTCCAGCGGTTGGTTTTTGTTGAAAATTCGATTTTTTGATTACACATAAATATTGAAAGTGTAGAGTTATGTCGAGTAATAAATTATTTATAATTTTCTCTTACAGTGTGGCTCGGAAGATGTGAAACGACATCGATGGTTCAAACATTTGGACTGGGCTGATGTTTACTTGAAGAAGTTACAGGTATTATGGACTTACATATATGATTGGCGAATAAAGGAGATTTAAAAAAAAATAGTAATTAGGGTCTTAATTGGGCTCTTTTCGTAACAACAATATCATCATCATCATCATCAATGGTTATACAGCCCCTTGTGGGTCTTAGACTCATCAATTACACTTCGCCATCGCAATCTATGTAGTGCTTCCCACGTCCAATTGCGAACCCCTATTGTTTCGAGGTCCTTGACAACACTATCGCAGTCTCGGTCTGCCGGGTTTTCTTTTGCCACCGGGTTGTGAGTTTAGTAAGGACCTTGGGGTTCTGTCGTTCGCCATACGGTGCACATGTCCCAGCCACTTGCACCTGTTGCACTTTATGAATTGGACCATGTTGGCGTCGTCTAGGATGTTATAAAGTTCTTCATTGTAGCGGATACGCCAAACAACAATATATTTTTTCAAAAACTAATTAATGGTTTTTCGTTTTTAGCCGCCCATTGTACCAGCCGTGTCATATGAAGGCGATACTTCAAACTTCGACGAATACCCCGAAACAGACTGGAAAGCCGTGAGATCGCTGGATCCAGATGAGTTAAAACTATTCGTGAATTTCTGAAATTCTTAATTCCTCTATTGGTACTAATTTAAAGTGGAATTCGCGAATGGTTAACTGTATTCGGATGTGAATTTCCAAAAACAATTTCGTAATTAACATTGTGTTAGGAAATTTAGGATTTTTGTGATTTCTAAAATCTTAGTGATACCGAGATTAGATTTAATTAATTATTAAACTTTGTTTAATGTGTCTGGCGTTTTCTTAATAAATTATTTTTAACAATGAAAATTAAGATTTGATCTTAAAATTTAGTAGTAATTATAGCGATGCATACTTATTTTTATTAATTTATTAAAGCACACGACATCAGATATAACAATTTTGTATAGTCTATTATATATTCTAAAATATTAAATACGGATATAAATTTTAGTTAAACAATCTTGTGTAACTAAATTGTATGGTAATTGTAATAATCTGTCCTAATGTATGAACATGCCGTCCCTTTCATACGTAAGAGTATATTTTTGTGGTTTGAATCTGTAATAGAATTTATAGTTCAACTCTTGAAAATTTATCTAAAATAAATAATGTTAAGTAGACAAATAAACGTGTGTGTAACTTTTTAAAGATACCTTTTTGGTTACACACTACCTATTTATTGTTGCGTGCATATTTTTTTATAAATATTGAAATTTTTATATAAATTGTTCCAGAATATGTTATAGCAATTGTCTTTGATTAACATAACTTTTATTCATTTAATAAAACACTATTTTGACCGGATTGAAGTTATGTATTATTATAAATTTACAACTATTTAACATAATTTTAAATAGTTGTAAATTTATAATAATACATAACTTCAATCCGGTCAAAATAGTGTTTTATTAAATGTTATAGCAATTCCAATTCTTGACGAATAATTAAATACTACGATTCAAAAAATACTTTATTAATTTGGGAGACAACAAATTAAATAGTAGCTTAGAGTGATATAATTTGAAGCTTAAAAGATAACTAAATTATACTACTATTAAAAAACTCCTCGTACGATGAACATTGAGTATTAAGTTTTACTCAGGCGTTGGAACATTGTTTTAATTGCTTTTTAAGTATTGTTTTCGTATTATAATTTAGGAGATAGATAATGAGGTATTTCCTAGCCATGTTATAACTAATGTGATTGCTGTGATCTTATTAGTCAGACAAAAACTCTGTTTTCGCATATTTATTAACATTGGAAATATAAAATGATAACAGGGTTTTCAGATAAATGTTATTTAATAATAGTTGATGTAAATATTTTGATACTAAGACATTAAATAAAATTTTATACATACTAGTGGTTTTCTTTTGTCCATAATTCTAATAGGCGCTTGCAGCAGAAGGAAGGATATCTCGGAGCCTGTAGGGCAGTAAAATATGTAAATTTTTGGGAGCACAAGCGTTTTATGACCACAGTAAACAGTTGACTATAAATACAATTATATATAATTCAACCTATGTAAATATTTTTTTGCAAGTTACCTTAAAAAAAAGTATTTGTTGGTAGATATAGCCCTGAAAGTCACCCTGCCAGCGCTCATCGACCTATTTTTCTGTTGTTTTACAGACAGCATGTATATATTACCCATTTATATATATACTATGCCATAGGTTAACATTCGATATAATTAACGCTTAGTCAATGAGGCGGCCGGTAACTCCAAAACCCATTTGACATACAGGAGGCAAGCTTAGCGCTGACTCTTAAAACTCGACGCTTCATCATACCCTTAGCTTCTTCTCCACCTTTTGTTTCACATGTAAATAACTGAAAACCTAGACAGTTTAATGTGGCTTCATTTAAGTGGCGATTATATAGGCATCTCCTGGTGTGCTCACATAGGCCACATCTCACTTAACATCAGGTGGAATTGCCGGCCGTCTGTCCAGTTCTGTAAAAAAAAATTAAAATAAAAAAGCATTTACCCATATACCGATGTTCCGGCTTTTTTCAAGATCAAATATGGAATAATATATGAAGTTTTTTTTTGTTTCCTCAGTTCACGTCAGTAAATAATTTCAGGTATACGTCAATTCAAGTATACAATAATACATACTAGTAACGTAAAGTCCTAAGCATTATTTATTACGCAAAATGGACCATTTGGTTTCTATGTTTTGTATAGTTTGAAAGACGTCAATCAACGAGTTTTTAGTAAAGTTTAAGATTAGCGATGGAGAAGGTGCAAGGTTTATTTCAATTCAATGCAGACTGTTTGCCGCCTCGGTACAACATTTTATTTTACATCGTTTATTTAAGAGTTTCAATAAAGAAAAATGCGAGTCAAAATGCATCTGGTACGTCTCTGATGTAAACTTCGTTACGCAAAATATTATTTATTTATTTATTAACACTTCGTTGCATATACATAAATATAGTACAATTGACATAATTCAATAAAAAGGAGAGCAACTGGCGGCCTTATCGTTTTCGAGCGATCTCTTCCAGGCAACCACTGTGAGAAGAAAAAAAAAAGTATTAAATTACATAAGGTAGGCAAGAAGTGCAAAAATACATGTATTACATATAGTTGATGAGAAAAAGAAACTAAAAAGGAACAAAAAAAAAACAAAAATATTAGTAGGTATTATTAAAGTTAGGGATACGATGTGGACAGGTAATGTTTGTACAGAAGAAATTTAAAGGAAGATAGAGAAGGAGCTAAGCGAATAGGGACTGGAAGTGAATTCCATAGCCTAACTGCAGAGACCTTAAAGGACTCGCCAAGAAAGGAGGAAATATGTGTTATAATATATGTCACCTGATGTTTTTATATTACAAAAAAAAATATTTATTTTTAGAAAGTAACTCAACATTTATTTACAACACACAAATAAACAATATAATTAAGTGAGGGCAGTGGTGAATCCCAAAAGTAAACAAAATGTATTTAAATAACTTTAATTAAACTATTACAGTTATTGAATTTAATTAAATATGACAATTGAATCGGCCCAAATTGAGGTGCACGATCAATAATCTATATCTTAGACTTATTACTTTTTCTCCTTCCGAGGCCCTTTCATCTTTAACCACTTCATTAAAAACAAAATTATCGTTAACATTTCAAAAATCACATTACATTACATACATCAAATACATTTAAAAATCTAAACATCTCAAACAATATCTTGTTAACCTGTCCTATTCTGATACTGAAAATATTCTTATTGTGCAAAAATAGTTTAAATATAAATGTGTAGAAATCATAATAATATAATTTTTAAAATACCGTTTACTTGTCAAAAGGAAGAGACTGGCTCATAGTATTGTCTTTTATTGACATAACTTTTAGACATAGAAAAACACTTTTTTAACGGATTTGAAGTTATGTTTTATTATAAATTTACAATTATCGGTCGTTAGAAACGTCGGTTAAATTTAATAATAAAACATAACTTCAAATCCGTTAAAAAAGTATTTTTCTAAGAGACTGGCTGCCCACAACACAGGGAATCCTAGTGTGGGGGCCAGTGCACTTTACTTTATCTAAATATCTTGTATATTGTGTGTAATAAAGTTTTTTCTTTCTTTCTTTCTTTCTTACTACATTGAGGATTTGAACGGTCCGATAGGAGGTATCCGATCAAAGCTGGCGATGTCTGTTGTCCGATTCCTTTAAATAATGCTGTTGCTTCAGCGGGGTGCAGGTATTGCTTATGTGGAGCAAACGGGGTGCAATGGATATTAAGTATGAATATTTTTAACCTACATATTAATAATTAAATATTGAAACAACTTTAAAAATTTGGTCACTGGCCATGTACCTTTAACGCTGGCAGCATTTCATCGCTGTATTGCGATACTTATTCGTTGAGCGAGGAAAGCACCAGCTGGGGTCATCGGTACTATCTACCAGGCATTAACATAAATCTTTTATTAGCGCCTGTGCACTTGAACTCCACGGCCCAAGAGTCTACTCAAAAGGGAACAAAATCAAAGTTGGAAAAAAGTCTCTTATAGTATTGTCTTTTATTAACATAACTTTTACACATAATAAAAAAATTTACTCTATTTATTTTATTTATTTTTTTTACCGTGACCACGCACGCACGCTAAATGTAAAGCACGCGAAACGTCGGTAAAATTTAAAATTATGAAAAATAATTATAAATACATAACTTCAATCCGGTAAAAAAATTGTTTTATTAAGTCTCTTATATTTGAGCCGTTTATTATTTATCAATTACATTTGTTTGCCTGTCAAACTAAAATCATGGAGACTATAGCAAATAAATTCTTCAGCTTTGAATAAACATTTAGGGAAGCCAATACCTTATTTTACAGAGTAATAACAATTAACCCATAATAATAAGACGCAACGTGCGACTTTCGCGATGAATCAAGGTTTGAGATATGAGTATTTAATTGCGAAAACAGTGTTTATATTTCATTAATTGATTGAGGTAGCATACAATTTAAAACTATTCGTGTACGAAAATAAAATATGGTTACTTAATTTTAGGTCCGATACAAAAATTAAGTTAATTATTAGGTTTTTAGTAATAAGAAAATAAGCATAATATATCAAATAATGGTAGTACCAAAACAAATATCACATAAAAGGGCTCAAAAAAGGTCATAAGTACTTTTTAACTTTCTTATGGAATTTACTAAAAAGTTTGTTATAAAAGAACTGAGAACCATGACACAGGTATTTTTTACTTAAAAGGAATCCCAAATCTTACTCATTGTAATACATTGTTATAAGGAATAAACACATTTTAATTCATTTATATTTAAGTACACAATTAATGTATCAATCATGTGAAGATTAAATGATTCGTAATCAGCGATTAAACTTCTATCAGGTAGATATGCCGATAAATTGCAATTAGTTTTATAATTACGTGCAAGTTAAGACGTTTGTATTTCTGTTTATTTTGTTATTACAATGTCTATTAGAGCGTTGAGCCCTGAATTAGCTGAGAAAGCTTTAAATGAATTGAACGAGGATCCAAAGAGGACGCCCAGTGACATCCAACACATTAAGGAATGGTTATCGAAGCAGCCACATTTAAGAGCAAGAACAGGTACTTTCTTATAACGTAACACTTCTAGTGGGTTACTACTAATTCAATAGATATCATAGATTCAGATAGAATTTAGTGTCATGTAAATGATATTACGAAAATATGCTCGATTTCTTAGTAAAGAGGCTAAAAAATATATTAAAATGGACTAAAATATGTATAAAATGTGGAATATATTTATCGCTTTATTCTGTTTTAAATATCTTTTGGATGAATACCACAAAGGAAATGATAAAAAAAGGGTGCGTGTACTTATGTACGCGCGTAAGAAGTTATACTTCTTTGGCATTATTAAAAATAGTTTTTTATTGCATGCAAATAATTAATTACAATTAAATAATCAACGACTGGAAAAGGAGTTTCTCTTACAGTAAGTGTAACATAAATTCTATTATTATTCGAATGTTGTTTTTAAATTATGTCCAATGCTTCCATCTTCCGTGGGCAACTTCATTCTGTTAATTTTGTGTCACGGTGAGCGCGAATCGTAAAATTTCACTCTCATCACTTTTTCATAACGCGCCTAAAGAAGTATAACTTTAAAAATAATCAATTCACTGATTTTTAGACGACCAATGGCTGTTACAATTCTTACGTGGATGCAAGTTCAGTTTGGAGAGAACTAAGGAAAAGATTGATCTATACTACTCAATGCGGACTTTGATTCCTGAATTTTTCAGTATACGCCCGACAGATCAGATTTTTAAAGAGATTATTGGGCTTGGGTATGTTAATGTATGGACAATATAACAGAACATTGTTTACATATGGTTCAATTGTGTATGTCAATTAGTTTTGGATTTTCGATGGAATAATATAATAAAAATTAATTATCATTCTATAATCCTCAACCATTCGTAATTGTTACGAGTCGTAAATCTACCAATTACCATATACATATATACCAGAGAGTTTATAGTTTATGCGCCTTATGTAAATCTACTAGCAAACTGTACTGGCGCAGCTCTGTTTCAACGCTTTCAAAGCTTCAAGGCGTTTATAGACTTTTTTTTCATATCTTTGATAGATTTTGTAACTTTTGTCTTATCATAACTGATGGTTGAGTCTCAAAATATAAGACGTAACTTTAAGTCAAACAAAACAAAATATTTACAATCTAAGATGTTTCCATACAATGTTAGTAATGCAAGTGGACAAAGAACTGGTGCTGATAACAAACACGTGTTTATTGATAATAATTTATTCGCAGGTCATATTTAATTCTACCCAAGTCTAAAGCTTTTGATGGAACTCACGTAACCATCATTCGACCTGGGTCCTACGATGCTAATAAATACAATATAATTGAGGTCTTGGCGGTGTCATCTATTCTAGAAAAGGTAAAATTGTATGTTACCTTTTTTAAAACAGCACGTTAATTAAAATGTATCAAATATAATTATAATAACACCTGGAAAAATGATATACATATGTATAAAATTATACAGGAGAGGGTAACACTAATAGATTTGAAATTTTAAGTCAGTAAACGTGTCACTTTTTTTTTATGGCTCTGGCACGGTTTGTGCATAAGCCAGCGTCAAGTATAAGGTTTTTATAATTCGTGCTTGCCTTAGAAATTCGACCGTGTCCTCCATGTACGGTTTAAGCACTCGCCCGGTACCGCACAACCCTCCCAAAGTTGTTGTTCTCGGCACAAATTTAAATTAAATTATAACTTGCCCTTTAACCGGGAATCGAACCCGGTACCCCTCACCTAGCTACCACTTAATAAGACCGCTAGGCTATGAGGCCCTTAAACGTGTCACTTGGTTTGTAATATTAATTAGAATTTTACAGATAGCATTAGCCGAAGATGACGACTCTGTAATCTGTGGAAGACGTACTATAATCGATTTGAAGGGCGTAACAATGGGACATTTCACCCAAATGACGCCTGTTACTATGAAGAAAATGGTGGCAATTGGACAGGTAAGAGCAAATCATTTTAGAGCTATAAACGATATCATAAATACAATTTTACATATAAATCTAAAAATAATTAACCTAATCGTTTACATAAGTTGCTTGTATTGCTAAAGTAGTTAAAAAAATTGTTAGGTAAACAAGCTTAATGTATGTATGTGTTAATTGTTATATTATAATATATTACTATTACAGGATGCAGCCCCACTCAGATTTAAAGGTGCACATTATATAAATTTACCAGGTGGTTTTGATGTGGTATTCAATGCCATTAGGAGCCTATTGAATGAGAAGAATAAAAGCAGGGTGCGTATCTGAATGTTCCATATTTGGACTTTATTTTATCGCAGTAACGTCTGTCAAATTAAACAATCTCTTAAAAAGAAAAGAAACAGCGAAAGCAAGGAATTTAAATGTACTTAGTATTAAAAAGTGCTTACTTTCAGCTCATTATTCACAATGAAAATTATGAAGAAATGTACAAATACATTCCTCAAGATATTTTACCAGCAGAATACGGCGGCACCGCTGGTACTATTAGTGACATTTCAGGTAATAAAAATCATTATAATGAAATAAAATACTTATTCATGACGTCATCAAGTGATAAAAGTAAAACTATACATTTAATAGCTATATGGTACATATCTTCATTTATCTAATATATAAAATTCACGTGTCACAATGTTCGTTCCCATACTCCTCCGAAACGGCTTGACCGATTCTTATAATTTTTTTTATGCATATTCAGTAAGTCTGAGAATCGGTTACTATCTATCTTTCAAACCCCTAAATGTTGAGGGTGGACCACCCCTAAATTATAATTTTTTAGACAGTTTTTTTTGTTTTATGATACAGCATACAAAAATACATACAACCCTTAATTTTCATCTACCCTCTACGATCAACCCTTAATTTTTATTTCTTAATTAAGAACTTATAACTTGAACTCTGAAGTTTATATAGAGAAAAATCGCAGAAAAACCGAAAAAGTGTTCATTCCGGAAAACCAAACAGTCATAGCAGAGTAACAGGGTAGCATAGCAAAATGTTCCATGTTGGTATGTACTAAAAAGATAGGCTAGGCATTAAGGAGAAACGAAGTACGCGGGGCAGCTAGTAAGATATAAAAATATTAGAATATACTAATCATTTAGATATTAAGAAATAATTTTGATTTATCTTATAAGCATTTGCTATAAAATTATCTTTTACGCCCAAAAAACATATGATTTTTTTAACAGGATATTGGATGAAAAAGGTGGAGGAATATAGTTCATGGCTGGAAGAAGATACGAAGTATGGAACGGATGAGGCCAAGAGGCCGGGAAAACCTAATTCAGCTGCAGACATGTTTGGAGTTGATGGATCTTTCAGAAAGTTAGACTTAGATTAGAACGAATAAGTGGCGATTGTATAAAAGATATTGATGTAAATTATGTCTGCTTCTATGTTGTTGGTAAAATTAAAAAATTGTATATTATTTTATGTCCACTCAATATAATTGCTACTGCTTCACCGCTAATGTATTGATTTGAGGTAGCCAATATGATTTCCTAAGTATGTAGTGCAAGGTAAGACAGAAGATAAGTATAATTAACCATTTTTTGCCGATGAGTAGGGATGCCTACAAATTGAAATTTAATGACGTGGAATAAGTGATACATGTATCTTATGTTCCATAATAAACATATTTTTTTTTTTTTTTGCACTCGGGGCCTTTTCGCTTGCACGAAAGTACTCGAGACGATTTTGTCCAAATAAGGTAAACATTTTACAGGTTCTTTAAAAATAATTTTAAACAAATAAACGTATATTTATAATAAAATATCCATAGTTTATCCATTTATGTGTCCAAACAATAAACTTTGATATATGTTACACTCTGTAATTGGTTTTGGTGTGATATTTAATAATATAATAATTGTGAAGATCAAGGACATCATGGAGACAAGTGCGTGAGGCGTGGTCAGTCTTGTTCTGTTGTATATAAACTAGAGCAATAGTATAATAATGAAATTCATATTACAAAATGAGTAACTATTTTTAAAATATTTAGATGTTCTTTTTATAACCATACAATACGAGCGAGATGTTAAAAGGTTAAAGCCGATCGTCCCCCGCCAACTAAACTAAGTTAGTTTAGCTTAGCTCGCATAGTTGATCCCGATTTTAAAGCCGATCGTCCCCCGCCAACTAAACTAAGTGAGTTTACTCAGCGAACTAAACTGTGCACACGTATAAAAAACTGGCTTAACTATGCGAGCTAAGCTAAACTAACTTAGTTTAGCCGGCGGTGGACGATCGGGTTAAAGGTTGGAGGACTCAGTTTCCACACTTAGACTCTCACTAAGTCCGTTATGCGTCAAGGCTAACTAGCTAGCTGCTTCCAGAAGCACAGGAGTCGCCTGGGCACTTCGCAGGCTTCACAGGCATGATGTTGGAGTTATGTAGATCTTTGGCGAATGCAGGTTCGCACTTCGAGAAGGGCAAGGAAATGAGCGGTTACTAGCCAGCCGGCATCATTCCGGAACCTCTCCTCGCAAGCTCGTCAGCATCATTGCGGAGAGATCCACTGTGTCCTTTTATCCACCCTGTTTGTCAGGGTTATTGCCTCCAGTGCATTGTGACACTTCGGTATCAGTTTGTTGTTTGTCTCTGACCGTTTCGGTTAGAGCGATACATTCACATTGAAATCCGTCTGCGTGTGCCTAGTGCTGAGATCAAGAGAAAATATGACAGCGCCGGCCGGAGCCAGATGTTTTATTGTATGGAATTAGAAAACTCCATTGAGTTCCAAGGGTTCGGACTACCTTCGGGATAGAGATCCTGAACTTTGAAGGAAGAAACCTAAGAGATTTTGAACAGGATAGAAGTAACATAATATACATATAACGAATAATAATGTGACATGACTATAGTAGATAAAAATTAATAAAGGCGCGGTATATGTCGCGGTAATAATTTTCACGTGTTATCAATCTAAATGTAGCTGATTACATGATTAAATCGAAGATTCCTAAATCATTCGTTAACTGATACGTGTACGAGCAGTGTCAATTGATTCAATATGAATATACGTCCTCTGTCTCCCGAATTGGCAGAAAAAGCTCGCTTAGAGCTCAATGAAGACCCGAAGAGAATACAAAGTGATATAGAACACATTAAGGAATGGATTGCTAAGCAACCCCATTTACGAGCAAGAACAGGTAATTCATATTTTATAACAGACATCATATATTCCTTGAAACTAAAGTCTATTAATTGTCCAATTGTGTATGCGTCTCTTTCTGACATTTGTGTTAACGGTGTGATGAAGAGAGACAGACCAGTAATAAATGTATGATCTCGTTTAATGACGCTCGTCTCTCTCATAAGACTTAGTATAAATAAAGAATATGGTATTTTGAATTCAATACTTAACATGTATGTTTAAAAGTGCTTGTTTTTTATATAATTCATTTTAACAACCTGAAAGGTAAATTTTTATTATTTTTATTTTACATTTTGGAGATTTAACCGCAATTAACTTTACAGATGACCAATGGCTTTTAACATTTTTACGGGGTTGTAAATATAGTTTAGAAAGAACTAAAGAGAAGATAGATCTTTATTACTCTTTTCGGACGTTGGCGCCTGAAATGTTTTTGCAAAGAAAACACACTGATACTGTATTTCAAGAAATTCTAGCTTCAGGGTACGTACCTACGATTTGTTAATAATAATATATCCCATAGTGTTGGATATAACAGTTTTTATATTGTTAATTATTTATTATATTTTGTTTGTAAAGTCGTTACTATTTATGTAGTAAGTAATGCATTATAATTTATTTTATCAAGATTTTTTTTTAAGATCCTGCCTTGTTCTGCCGAAGAAAGCTTCGCCGGTTGCTCAAAGTGTCCTCATTGGCAGACCTGGAGTTCTTGACACTGAAAAATACAAAGTTACAGACTTTATGGCCGTTACTAATGTGATGCAGAAGGTATGTATAGGTTAACATATAGTATGATATATATACTCGATATCTTATGTTCTTTATAGGTTCATAAGAAAGCGTAGGATTATACCGTATGACTTCTTGATATGAGCTAATAATAGAAATGTAGTAGGAGACATGAGTAACTCATATCTTTTTTCCAGCAACAAAAAGCCTTGTTGCCTACAAGCAAAACTGAAAAGCCCGTCTGATTTTCGGAGGAACAATATATGTTTCGGATTGATAGGTTCTGCTTATCACTACGCTCACTACACAATTGTTATGGGGCCTAAATAGCAATGCTATTATAGCATAGAATTTAATCTTTTTCAGATAATGTTGCTAGAAGACGACAATACAGTAGTAGCGGGTGCACGATTTGTAATGGACTTTGAAAATGTTAACATGGCATTCTTCTTTCAAATGACTCCAACGTTAATGAAGAAAATGTCTGTCTACTCCCAGGTACATGTTTTCACTTAATATACCTAAAATTAGTATGCTGAGATATTACTTTTCATCAAATAATCTTACTGGATTTAAGAACATGAATCAAAGGTCACATCAGCAGCTCATACGTAGACCAGTCTATCTGCCAAACGTATAGTCATTAGGAGAACTACATCAACCTACTAAACTTGGCTTATTAAGTAATTGTTTGCTTTTGATTGACAAAGTTTATTTAGTATTATTTCATTTTTCAGGAAGCGGTCCCACTGCGGTTTAAAGGTGGCCATTATATTAACGTGGGAAGTGGCTTTGAGACAATTTATAATATGATGAAGAGATTCTTGAACGAGAAAACTAAGAGCAGGGTAATGCCATTTTTAATTTAATTACAAAATAAAATTAAGGTCTTTAAACGACATTCCACAATTCTCTCAATAGCTTCTTAAAGTTAAAAAATATTCGAGGCATAGTAGAAGCCGTCAATGCTTTTCTACAATAACTAATTTTAAATTACTAATTAGGAATGATGAGTGATATCTTCTTACAGTTGCACGTTCATAACAAAAACTATGAAGAGATGTATCAACATATACCAAAAGAAATTTTGCCTGTTGAATATGGTGGCAGCGGTGGTACCATCGCTGAAATAGTTGGTAAGCATCTCATGGAGCAGATTTTGGTATCAGTGAAGTTTTTAAAAGCTGGAAACTGTACTTTGGAACCCGGCTGTGTAACAATGTATTTTTTCTATGTACCTATAGGTATGAAAATATCGTCGTGAGAAACCTGGTCAAAACGTTGATAGTCTGTAGTCTAACATTATTATGGGCGCCTCATGTTCCATCGGCCATTTTCAGAGAAAATAATATCTTTAATGAAAATATTATCACATATTTATACACGTATAATTTTAATAACGCTTCGACTTGTTTTAAATGTTGTAACGTTTATTATTTAGACATTCGAATTGGGTGGTTAACTTTTAATCCATTTTTTAGAATATTGGCAGAAAAAGATAGCTGAATACAGCGACTGGTTGGAGGAAGACTTGCAGTTTGGAACTGACGAGTCCAAACGTCCTGGAAAACCGAAATCGGCAGAGGAAATGTTTGGCCTCGATGGCTCATTCAGACAATTGGAGTTTGACTAAAGGACATATATATCCTTTCTATTTATATGCTCAACGCATTTGCATTACTACGGATCGAAGTATTAATAAATAATTCAAAACATATGTCTGTATTTATAGTTTTATTACTAGTGGTTAAGCGTGTGATGGTTGACCCTGAGGTCTCTATATATATATATATTTCTATGTAAGCAATAAACAATCGCTTATACGGTGAAATAATATAGTAGGGATGTAATTTGTAGGCAGGTGCCTATCAAGAAAAATCTATAAAACCGATGCAGAAGTTAAGTTCCATAGAGGGCTGTGACGCCGATTAATATAAACAAAAGCAAATAACTCATTTTATTTATACCTTTATCGGAACGGGAACGGCAGATATTATTTTTAGTGATGCGATGATGGCAAAAGAGCATTGGAATTTTTATATTCGAACTAGTATGCTCCGGTATTATAGTGTGCTGGTTCTCGTAATTCAGCAGCTCAAACCTTAATTTTTAACTTGGTAAGAGCATTACATCTTTATGACTTAGGCGATAAATGTTACATTCGTGTAACCTGCCTTGTATACAAAGGTTGTTGGACTCTAGCTATTTTTAAATTGCCGCTATTTAGACAATCCTTGAAATCATCACGAAGCTACAAGTATATAAAGAAGATTTTAATAAAAGCAATACTGTGACGTCATTATTTCCATTACTGAGCTGGGTCACGCCGGCCGTATTAAACCCCTTTTTACTTACTTCTTTTAAGTAAGAAAGTCAGCATGGAATGATAGTATGAGGATATCTTATCGGAGACAAAGACTAATTATACCTACAGATTATAATTTGTGCCAGCCATACATTAAAAACAAACAAAGTAATTGTATTCGTACGACTAACGGTCCGCTTCGGTTTCGCATGGGTAGCTATGTAGATATATATTTGTGATATCTAAGGTTATAATATAAAGTATTTTTTTAATCAAATCATATCAGCGTTGTTATTTAAATGGTGATAGCGTGGTCATATTTGCGAGTGCTCTAACCCCAATGTAGCACATTTCTGCGGCATTTGATTAACTTCCTACGGCCACGAACTCGCAACGATATTTGTTTCGCTAGGAAACGAACCCAAGATCTGGGTTATGTGCGTAAACAACTAAGCCACAACGTCACAACTAAGTCGAGGAATGTATGTATAGGGAAATATAAATTTAAGTTCAATTAAGTAGTTTTTAAATCAAGTCAAACAAACAGAATAAATGTTAACATTTATTCATCGACAAATCTGTCCTACTTTTTACACAACACACTATGGCGCGGAGCGTGACGCAGCGTTGCCTTCGAGAATGGGTTCAATGGTAATAAACAGCAATTATTGTACTAATAGCACGTGTAACAATATTAATATTGAGTTGAGTTTAGAGCTAAGAAGATTAATCTGAAGTCTGATTCCTATAAAGTAGTATAAATGTCAGCTAAAATGATAATTTCTTACCTATAACTCGCCTATTACATGAGTGGAGATTGTGAAATCTTACAGTCAGTCACCGGTTTGACGACAAACAAAGAGCCGCGTGTGCGTGTTAAATATAAATAAAAATATTTGAAATTATTGGCTTTCTTATATTACTTGAGCCAAAACATTTGTTTTGGTTGGATTTGTATTGAAAGTAACAAAGCAAGATCTGAAAAAGGTAAGATTTAATGTTGTTTATTTTTTTATCACGTTAATAAGGTAAATAGAGGTAATATTAGTAACAAAGTAGTTAATACATTAAAACAGATTTAAATGAATGGGTTTTAACTAATATTAACGCAGCATTATTAAGGTTGATGATTTTTTATTTTATATAGGTATAATAAATTGACAAGTTTAAAATGTCTATAAATATATTATTTAATTTAATGATTAGTTAATATAAAAGTATTTATTTCCACTTTTTTATGTTAACAACTTTTCAATGTCTTTGTCCTTAAATTAGGTAACATTGGCATTACTAAACGCCTGATGGTTTTTGTTTACCTATAATTAAGAAAACAAATAAAATATATTTCACCTGGTAAGTAAAATCTTTTATATCATTATTCTACTTAAAATAAAACTCTACTAATGAAATTATATTTTCTTGGATTAAGATCTATCATTAAAATTAAGTGCAAAATAAAATGAAAAGAATGACCCAACTGAAACTAAAAAAAATCAATAAGAAAGGTTTTTCTATTATTTACAAACTTCCATATGGAGTGATCAACTTTTATACTCTTTTTAAATACGTTTGTATGACGCGTAATTTTCTTTTATAAAAAATGAATACATATATTCATTTTTTATAATAGTACTATTAAAATATGCGCCTAAAATATACTTTATAGCAAACTTTATGACTTGGAAGTAGCGGTCGAGACATTATTTCGATAATGCTTAAAAGTAGAAAACTTTTGTTTTATAATTTTTTTATTTTCCCCTTTTTATTTTTTTTCTTTCTATTTAATTTCTAATTTTTTCCCCTCTTTATTTTTTCTACTAAATAATTTTCCTTACTATAAAAAAATATAAAACAATTAGGTTCTAAACCCCCTCTTTTTCCTAATATTCACTCTATACCTGTGTTATTTTTAAATCGAAGAATTCAACGAAGGTCTAATTAGTTGTTTTAGATGAATTTGAATATATTTTATTTTAAACCTAGAAGAGTAAGGGACAAATTTATTTCCTGTAAAGGTCATTTTAATGTTATTAAATTTATAAAATGTAACACCGCTAAGTTCTATTGTACAGAGATAGCATATTAAATTTTTAAGTCGTATGGTGTCTATGTGAAAATCCTCTCTATGAAACTAGGTGTCCTAAAGATTTTCAATGCTTTCAACCATTGCAATGATGCATATAGTGGATTCCATACCAAACTAACATACTGCCAAAGCTTTAAAAATTGTTTTAGGTACACCAAAACAATCCGCATTCCGTTTAAAAATCCAAGCATTCCGGATGGGTGATATTTATTGACTATTAAACGTAATTTTTGTATTCTTTTCTTTTATGTTTTTTTTTTTGTGTATTTTTGAAAACTTATTTATATTAGGATCATACCATTTAAAGATTTTATACCATTAAGGTCACTTTAACTAGAGCAGCATCACAACATGTTAATAACTTTATAAATTTTTAAATCATCAGCGAAGAGATACACTTTACAGTGCTTTATATGATTCTTAACGTCGTTTACAAATAGTAAGAATAGCAACGGTCCCAAATGAGATCCTTGCGGAACACCAGATCGCGCAATATAGGGAGAGACTCAGCGCCTCCAAAACTACTGACTGAGGCCTGTGGATAGGACCTCCGTTGCTTCCTCCCATCCTCCCACTCTATATAACCTGATGACTTTGTCAAAGTTGAGTTATATGGATCATCTGGCTATTTTTGAATGTTTCAGTAACAAAAGACATTTTTTTTAATGGAAAATAAAATGATACTAATTTCGTATTATTTGTATTAATTATTTTATACGTAGTGTACTTGATAACAAACACATGTATTATGCAACTTTGTTGCAGTTTATGTGATAAAATCAAGTTTTAAAGATAACACAGTGATAGTACATATAAGGAAATACTTTTCAGGCGGTAGACAACACTAATGATGTATGATAATTAGCCTGAAAATGTCGTTAAGACAACTTCATCCTCTGTTGGCGGCGAAAGCCAGAGAGGAGTTGAACGAAGAACCAACGCGTATCGAAGAATGTTTAAGATTGTTAAAGGAATGGATTGCAGTGCAACCGCATTTGAAAGTCAGAACAGGTAACATAATATATTCTTACATGGCAATCTGTTGTTAAAAATATATCCAGTGGCCTTTTTGTTGGATGGTCTCCTCTAGTTCTTCAACTGGAAATTCTTAAAATGTTTTCAATATAAGGAAATTCACGTTAGTTCACCTACAACAAAATTGTTTTCAAATTCGAAAAACCTAACTGTAAATAATGTCATGCTTTATAACGCGTGGAAATTATGTTTCTTGTTAACTATATATGGGTATATTACTAATAGGCGTCGAATTTCCTTTCAGATGACCAATGGCTTGTGGCGTTTTTACGTGGATGTAAATATAACTTAGATAAGACGAAAACAAAAATAGATTTGTACTACACGTTAAGGACAACGGCACCGGAAGTATATTGTATTAAATATTCAGAACCAAAGATCTATAGAATATTAGAAACTGGGTATGATATACCGCCTTTATGGAAATTTCTTCGAATAATTATGACGAGAAATTATTTGTAATAATGTATTCGTATGCGTATGCCCTATGTATGCGTTTTGAGTATACGCAAGTCCCAAAATCGATACAATATGTACGCATTGGGTGTTAATAAATTTTAATGATATTTAAATCCTACTAATATTATAAATGCGAAAGTTGTAAGTATGAATGGATGTTTGTTACTCTTTCACGTAAAAACTATTAAATGGATTTTAATGAAACTTATCAATAATATAGCTTATACATCAGAATAACACATAGGCTACAATTTATAAAGATATTGTGTGAATTGTCCAAAACATGAAGTAAGTAGAAAAAAAACAACCATCTGCGAGTTATTTTGGCGTGCGCTGCCAAAACTGCTAGAGTTACACATATGTAATGTATGATGGAAATGTTTATCTTAATAATCTTAAAAGCCCGCCACAGGATACATTTATGTCTTATTTGTAAGCCATTATAGCCAAAATAGTGAACCATAACTACAATAAAAATTTATAATTTATTTCTAATGCAAATTTGGTAGTAATAAATTGACTCCTAAATTCTTAAAGAAGATAAAATATCTTTTTCACACTTCAACATTTGGACAAATATTATTTTAATCCTGCGCTGAATGACGAATTCGCGGGCACCAGCTAGTTAATAATAATTTAATTCTATGAGAGCTATTTGACCTTATGGAGTTTGTAGAAGATGATACCTAGAAAAATCTGATAATATATATACGTACCCGTAGCCTTTATTTACCATCGCCAAGAAGTAAAAATAACAAAACGTTCAGTAGCTATCCGAGGATTACATTTAAATTATTCTTATTGTTTTAACTTTTTTCAGGGCAATTCTGACAATGCCTAAGACCAAAGGACCAGCAGACCCCCGTGTAATACTCTTAAGACCAGGATGGTGTAATCCATCAGACTTCACTTTTATGGAAGTGATGGCAGTTATGTTATTTCAACACCAGGTACCTTTAATTTTATATATGTATTTACTAGCTGCCCCCGCCAACTTCGTTTCCCCTTAATGCCTAGCCTACCTTTTTAGTACATACCAACATGGAACATTATGCTATGCTACCCCAGAGACTGTTCGGTTTCGAAAAACTTTTAGTGATTTTTCTCTATATAAACCTCAGAGTTCAAGTTTTAAGTTCTTAACTAACAAATAAAAATTGGGGTAGATGATAATTAAGGGTTGTATGTATTTCTGTATGCATGTAAAAATATAAAAAAAAGAATTGTCTAAAACATAAAAAAAATGGGTTTTGGGGTGGACACCCCTTGTCACTTAGGGGTTTGAAAGATACAGAGCGATTCTCAGACTTACTAAATATGCATAAAAATTCATAAGAATCGGTCGAGCCGTTTCGGAGGAGTATGGGAACGAGCTTAATATATAAAATTCTCGTGTCACAATGACACATGCATGAATTTTATATATTAGATTATTATAACATATCTTAACTCAAAACCACCATATTAAACAGATCCCACTAACAACTCATGGTAATAACACCCTATTGTTTCTCTTTACGTTAAAAATAATAATGGAACCATATCGTGTGACCTGAATGGATAATTTAAAGGAGGGACCGAGTTTATTGCCAGTTCTTCTTTCCGTTCTACTTGATTTGAGAACTGGCAGTAAATGTCAATTTAGAACCAATATTTTTTTACTGACCTTTATAAGTGTTTATTAATTTCCCAAAAAATTTTTATTTAAATTACAAATCAAACCTAAAATCTGAAAATTTTGAGATTTTAGACCAAGCTAAAAAAAAACCAATAATAATTTATCAGATATCATACATGGAAGACGATAACTTGACAGTGGCAGGGATGGTGAACGTGGTTGACTTGAAGGGGACCTCGCTATCGCACATTAGACAAATATCAATATTTGAGATAAGAAAATTGATAACAGTCACTCAGGTAATGTATAGCTGTAATATTTTAGATATTCCTTGTAAACAATTCACTACTATTGTCTATAGCCCTATAAATTATACAACATAAGTCACTGATGGAAGTATTTGTTCTGAGAATCGAATTTAATAAAAAAGCAGCACTTCTCAGAAACTAAAACCTTCTTAGAATTATTATACCCAACTGACTGACTGGATGCGATTGACTCCGCACATACATATGTTGATCCGTTTATTTTTCCTCTCTATGGTTATACAAAAAGTTTGAAATTCATATCGGTAAAACTTTGTTCTAGAATTAGAGTTGCCAAATTTCACTGTTTTATTTGACTAGTACGCAAAATCAATGATATATGCTTGTGTCACGTGGCCCGCTTATCATTGCGGCAAGCTCGCAAAGTGTACATTACCCATACCTCGTGGTTAATTAATTTCAGGACGCTGCAACTACGCGGATGAAGGGTGTCCACATTCTCAATACTATGTATTTCTTCGAAACCTGTTTTAATTTGGTCAAGCGTTTTCTCAACGATAAAATCAGAAAAAGGGTAATTAAAAAATTATATAGGAAATTAACTAAGAATCTAAAATGTTTTAAGTGTTAATGAACGTCAACATTTAAAACATAAAAAACTTTATTTCAAAATGTGTAAAACTAAAATACAGTTTCAGATACACAACAAAAACTATGAGGAATTCTATAAGTGTGTGCCACGAGAAGTCTTGCCTGTTGAGTACGGTGGAGAGGGTGGCACCACGAGAGAGATTATAGGTAGTGAAATGAATTAGTTTGAATAGATGAACTGAACTATATTATTCTAATTAAATAGAATTAATAATTCTGAGAAAGACTATTGAGAGGAGCCAAAATTATCAAAAATAACTGATCAACAAACCCTTCACTAAGTTTCACGGTAAAAATTTTTTTAAAAAAAGGGTGCGTGTACTTATGTACGCGCGTAAGAAGTTATACTTCTTTGGTATTATTATAAATAGTTTTTGATTGCATGCAAATAATTATAATTAAATAATCAAAGACTGGAAAAGGAGTCATTATAGTCAATAAAGTTTAGTTTACATTTGAAAAATTAAATAAATAAATATTATTATTCTCGTACATTAAGTGTAACATAAATTCTATTATTATTCGAATGTTGTTTTTAAATTATGTCCAATACCGTAGCATCTTCCGTGGGCAACCACGTTAATTTTGTGTCACGGTGCGCGCGCATCGTAAAATTTCACTCTCATCAATTTTTCATAACGCGCCTATAGAAGTATAACTACAAAAAATAGTTATGGACGCATATTTGCCCAAGCAATATGTAAGGCGTTTTAAAACTTGTATACAACACTAAAGCTACGGATTACATCTCTTTACAGATATTATTGTGTTCGTTATTATTACGGTTCGTATATAAATATAATATACAAGTTCCATTGAATGACAACTGATGTAAGCTTATAAATATTACCGTAATGCTATATGACATTGTGTACATAAAATAGATATTTTTACTTTTTTTTAAGGTCTACCTATTATATTTGAAATGTAATTTACAGATTACTGGAAAAGAAAATTTAGAGAGTACGAAGGTTGGTTACGTGAAGATTTTGAATACAAATCGGACGAATCCCAGCGACGGAGAAGATAACATTAACTTGTAGCTGTAACTTGTACTTATTGGTTTAAAAGTCAAATAAATTTTGACATATTTTGTAATTATGTAATTATATTTATATATATAGCATTATAATATTTTATTCCTTTTTAATTGATATCAAGTCCCAATACATTATGGTGAAATTATTAAACTAGTTTTCGTATAGGCATTTTTTTAAATCAAATTGTGGCAAATATATAAATACGATTACGACAAGCATTCATTACAAAAATTCAACCTTTAGACTAAAGCGGGCCATAGACGGACCGCATGTTGCAGCCGATACCGACTGCTCTAAGCGGTCGCCGCACGGCGATGTGCAGTTTCCATACTAAATTCATATTCGCAATACACGGACCGCTCGAGCAGTTCCTGAGCAAACCGCATGTTGCAGTCGGTCTTGACTATGGCCCGCTTTACATGAAAAATTTAAATATTTATAACTAAATCGTTCTATACGGTTGTTAGACAGCAATTTTTATATTTCAATTTTGTAAAAATTCCAAACAAAGCACTCAAACCGATCGAAGACGTTTAACAAAAATACACTTATTCATTTTGATTGTTGAATTTTAAATTATAAAACAGTACCGATCTTACCAATGGGCCAGACGGAGAATGGGGTTGATTGAATTTTTTCTTTGCATTTCTCACTTTATGTTTTCATAGTGGATAGACATAGTAGAATGGTTCACTGACTTTCTAAAGACTATTCATGAAAAATTTCGATAATCATCTTCATCAACAATCTTATTTGGTCTTCGAGTTACAAAATACAATCTACAACATAACACATGTCGTTTTCTCTAATAAAAAAAAAATTTCAACGTCTTCAAAAAGATAATTTATAAAGCAATCTATACAATAATATATAATTTACTTCCAAATGAACGTGGCTTTATTAATAAACGTTCTACGATAACTAACTTAACCGTGTTCACGAACCATGTACTACAAAGAATGGATGGTGGTGCACAGGTTGATGTAATCTACACAGAATTTGAGAAAGATTTTGTATAGAGTTGATCACTATCTTATTGCATAAGGTCTAACTCTAGAGTTACATGTATACCTACATCGGTGGTTCTGGTCATATAATAATGCAATCGAAGACAGGGAGGTGCAATTGGCAGTGCCAGAAGTGAAGTTCATACGAGTTCTGGAGTTCCTCAAGGATCAATGTTAGGTCCCCTGTTATACAATGCATATCTTTATGACATAAATAGTATTAACAATTATAATTACCTTATGTTCGGTGATAATAAAAATAAACTTAAAAATAAACAAAGAAGATGGCTGACAAAATGTCAGACTTACACCTTTATATGTGTGTAATGACGTATAATGAACATTTTGACACAATAGTTGACAAAGCCTATAAGCTGCTTGGTTTTGTAAAACGTGGTAATGAACATTTTCATGATGTCAACTGTATCAAAGTGCTGTACAATAAATATTATACATATGTTAGAAGTATTCTTGAATATGGTTGCTCGGTTTGGTCACCTAGTTAGTACTTACACAAAAAAAAATCAAAAGATTCAATACGACTTTATAAACATCTTCTCCTTTAAGACTTATTATTTTGTACAACTTCTAAAAATGTTTGCGACATCAATTTTTATAAATATTTTTATATTTGTAATGCGAAACTATTTTTAAAAACATGTTACGAGTCAGTGGCGTAACAATACCATCTGGGGCCCATGGCAAATGCTTTTGATGGGGCCCCATCAGTAAAAATCCTCACGTTGTACTCAGTTTTATTTTATTATCTTTGAGATTTTCAGCGTACTATACGTATATGTCCCACTAATAGCCATAGGCCTCCTCTGTTAGGCGGGAGGGAATGGTCTGTAGTCCCCACGCTAGCCCATTGCCTATTGGAGACTTCACATTCATCCATAGAACATAATATCTTTTGGGCAGGGGCCCTCTTGGGTCGGGGGCCCGTGGAATTTTGCCAGCCCCCATACGCCACTGTTATACTAAATTGTTAGTTACATCAGTTAATTATGAAGAGGAGATATTAAATAACTTCGAAGGCTTTCAATAGCTTCGCAAGTAAATACTCCTTAAGTACCTACTACGCATGCACAAGTCTTAAATTAAAGCGGTTCAAACTTCAAATCGTAGAACTTCAGCTAGTTAGTACTCAAATCGACGCGGAACTAGGGAACTTTATCTGCCATAAGGAGGTCATGTTTATAATTAACAGATGTAATAAATTGCACGCATTATGCTGTAGTATTCAATGTCAATGAAAAGTAAACGGGAACAACAAATAAACAATAAAATATATAAATAGGTACTTGACGTGAAAATATACCTTGCTGTCGGAGAACTGTCTTACTTACAGTAATTGTCTTTGGTAAAAGGTGGCACAAATTCAAGGTCAAATCAAGGCCATAGAAACCTAAAGTAAATCACCAACGCTCCATTAGACAACGCGTTGTTGTAAATATTATGTATAGGTATAGCTCGAAAACGAGTCGGTGATAAGCTGATAACCATTCAGTTACTTCGACACCTGATATTGCTCTGACGTTTTTAATGGTACTATTAATGCATACAGTTTATTGCAGTGATAATATCTTTATCATTTCGGGTTAATCGTGTCAGTAAATAGCGCGTGTTAAGGAAAATTGTAAATGTGAATTTTATTGATAGTCTATTACACGAAGGACGTAATTCGTATTTTGTAGTTCTTGGTAAGTGCTATTGTAATTAAGATCACAGTATAATTAATATGTAGGTTAGACAAAACTGTAGCTAAACAAAAACTGCCTAACTGACCATAATCATGGAGATAGGTATTATCAAAATAAAGTTATTGGATATTATTATAAATTCGTGCTATTGATATATTTTTTAATATGCTAAATATTATATTAAGAAAAGAAAAGGTATTTAAGAATTATAACAGGGGCATGGATTAGAGAGGAGATTAAATAAAATATTCGATCGATTTTTGTTTATTAAATACCTTTTCCATTTTTTTTCCCCCCCCCCCCCCCCCCCCCCCCCCCCCCCCCCCCCCCCCCCCCCCCAATTCCCCCCCCCCCCCCCCTAATACTATACCTAGTCTTGCCATAAATACTAAACAAAGAAAACATATTTTTTTTCTATTGCAAATAACATTTATTACATGCTTCAAGTCCTAACTCATCTTTTAAAATACGCGACATGGTTTCTTCGAATTCTTTCCCTTACTGCTTTGACCACCTTTTTCGTACGAACACTACGTGGACGGCCAGATCTTTTTTTGTCACAAACAGAGTAGGTCTTATTGTACCGGTACACAAATACATATTTTAATAATACCAAGCGTACGGAGAGTCTTAAAAATTGCATTTGGCTCCATACCTACTTTGTTTAATGCAATCTCAGCGATTCGGTTCTCTTTATCACCCCACTCCATTTTAATATCACAAAATATTGTACAATGTATTGGCGCCAAAATGAGAATACTCAATAAACAATCATATAAAAATGACAGATTCCAAATTCAAATATAATATTTTGTTTATTTTTAATTGTAACAGTATTTATGGCCAGACTAAGTACATTAGATAGTAGACAATACATTTTAATTACATTAAATAAATTTAATGCACAGGAAATCTGTCTTCATATCAATACATAACCAATTGTGCCCTACTTTTAAAAAAACTAAATCAATCTTATACAAACACAATAACGTGTCTCTATTCATCACGGCATAAATTCTTTTTTAAACCGTGCACTTCATTGTCACCTGTGAATTTTTATTAAAACAGATTTACAATTAAATAAGTTTTTATGGAGCTTTTCACACTCCAGAGGGAAATGACGCAGATAAATTTGCCAAAAATGCTGTTAAAAACATGTATAAAAACTTCCCAAACAACCATTAAATATCACATAAGTTATTGTAATATATTCTGAGATTATATAAATAAACTCAATTCTTGTCCTAACTGAAGTATAAGAAGTCAGAAGACTGAAGTAAAATTAAATGGGATAAGCAAACTTTACAAATATTAATATTTTTCTCATAGGTATGGCGAAAATTCGAGAATTGACCCCTGAATTGGCTGAAATCGCCAAAAAAGAATTGAATGAAAACCCAAAACGAACCGCAAACGACATTCAGCATCTCAAAGATTGGCTCGCTAAAGAACCACATCTAAGGGCTAGAACAGGTACACCATGAACTCCTTTTATAAATTAGGTCAATAAATTGTTTTATTACTAATGAAACTTGCACAAAAATTAGGACAAAAGATCTTGAAGTTTCTTAATTCTTAACGTGAACATAAACACACAATCGATTACCAGTCATATTAAAACCATTTTTTAATAGCGATTTATCAATTGACTTTCAAACTTTAAAACGTTTACAAAAGAAGCGCAAAAGGATCGAAATTGGTGGAAAATTTAGATAAAAAAAAAAAAGGAAACCTTTAACGCGTGTTGTGCGCCAGATGTTATAGATTACAGCTCGACCACGATACGCACAGTTCACGATCCAGAAATTGGCTACAGAGCTCATTACTCTATAATAATTATTTCTAATGTGTGTTTTAGATGATCAATGGCTTGTAGCTTTACTACGAGGATGTAAGTTTAGCTTGGAAAGAGTCAAAGAGAAGTTAGATTTGTATTACACACTTCGGACAACTGCAGCCGATGTGACACTTCGGCGTAAGCCAACGGAGCCGGAATTTCTGGAATTCCTAAGACTCGGGTAAATTTACTACTTTAAAAAAATATATTTTTATATGAAGATTAACACTTGAATCATTCTTGTTAATTGCGCAAAAATAACATTACATTTTTAAATTAATATCATGCAAGAATGGTTTTTGTAGGTGATGCTGGTAAAAATGCTTTTGTGAAAAGTAGTTATTTCGATATGTGGAAAAGCAATCATTATGCTATAATGTATAAAAAAATTTAATTGACTGCCAGTTTTTGACTACTCGTGTTTTGTTACAAAAATGCTGTGGCCAAATTGTGAATATACAACTTGATTCTTGTTAAAGTGTCCCTAAAGTTTACTCATATTTTATATATACTGTTATATATATATACTGATATAGTAATATACTATATAACATTAATAATTAATTATTTCCAATGCACAAAAAACAAGAACAATAAAAACAATAACTAACCTTAAAATATAAAAACTAAAATATATTATTAAAAGGAGTCCCTTTAGGAACTCTAATTAAATAATTATTTAATTTCTTGTTAACTCATATTTTACTCAGTCATGGTAATTTTTTTAATTTCCAGAACATGTCTTATTTTGCCAAAGTCAAGCAAACTTCACCCTCGCGCTATTTTGATCCGTGCTGGGAGATTTGACATAAACAAATACGATGTTACGGATATTATGTGTATCTTATATTACTTGGTTCAGGTACACTACTTTTTGTTATTTAATAATATGAATAATTCCAGTAACACGATACGAACAGATTTGGTTAGAAGTAACATAATATATACCACATTTTAAGTGTTTCATTTACCAATTTATGAATAGTAAATAATGGTAAAAATGTTTTATCATTTAGAATACTTAGAAGAAAGATAGTAGTAGTAATAAGACAGTTATTAAAATTATTAATAGTAAAAGGTAAGATCTGTTAGGAACATCCTATGCCGAAATGAGTTCAGCTAGAAACTGTCAAAAGAAAGAGCATCTCTAGTCCCACCACGTTAGTCTTTCCGTTTTACCAATAACGATCAAACGAACGAAGCAAAACTTGAATTTGGTATTATTCTTGCGGTCTCGAAATACATATCATTCAAATATGGCTTCGTTTCTTTAGTGTTGTTTACCGCTCAGACATTTAATCCTCTTATTATGATAATTAGGAATATGTTAATCATGTAAAGTTAAATTGAACAATTGAAAAATTTTGCGTTTTATTGCTTCCGGAGTCGGCGTTGAAAATTAACTCGTTTCAATTTTACGTATTTTTTTAAATTTAATTAATCATAAGATTTTTGTTTTCAGTAAGGCTAGCAGACTTTGAATACTAAATAATTATTTACCTATGTGGAGCTTTTCCATGATACATGTCTTATATTGCAAGCAATTTAGGTCATTAGCTTTAAGCACTGGCCCTACCTTAAGGCGCCAGCTATTTTTTCAGATCCACTCTGGGAGATTTGACAGTGAAAAAACAAATACGATGTTACGGAGGGATTTTATTTGCTAAAATGTGTATCTTCTATATTACTTGGTTCAGGGTACACTACTTTTTATTATTTAATAATATGAATAATTCCAGTAAACACCCGATACGAACAGATTTTGGTTAGAAGTTTCTGTTAAAAAACATAATATATACACACATTTTAAGTGTTTCGATTTAGAATACAGTAGTAAGACAGTTATTAAAATTATTTAATAGTAAAAGGTAAGATCTGTTAGGAACATCCTATGCCGAAATGAGTTCAGCTAGAAACTGTCAAAAGAAAGAGCATCTCTAGTCCCACCACGTTAGTCTTTCACGTTTTACCAATAACGATCAAACGCTTAACGAAGCAGGGAAACTTGAATTTGGTATTATTCTTGCGGTCTCGAAATACATATCATTCAAATATGGCTTCGTTTCTTTAGTGTTGTTTACCGCTCAGACATTTAATCCTCTCATTATGATAATTAGGAATATGTTAATCATGTAAAGTTAAATTGAACAATTGAAAAATTTTGCGTTTTATTGCTTCCGGAGTCGGCGTTGAAAATTAACTCATTTCATTTTACGTTTTTTTTTTAAATTTAATTAATCATTGAGATTTTTGTTTTTAGTAAGGCTAGCTGATTTTGAATACTAGATATTTCCATCGATGGATGGATGGATTCTTACTGATAACTTGTATTGACAAGCAATTTAATCATTGGCTTTAAGGCATTGGTCCATACTAAAGACGATTTAATCGCTTTTATATGGCAAGACCATGGGTACAAATATCATGATACTTATTATAATATTTTACATTTGTTATATCAATCGTGATTGTTTAAATAATAAATAACGCTGAATGTTAACGTTTTATTGTGGTTGATATTTTGTAAATTTTTAACCGAATTCTAAAAACACGATGATTCAATTTGAAGATTCGTTTCTATATTGTTTTTCAATAATAATATTTGACTAGTTTTTGTAATAATTATCATGTTTTGTTAACATCATTAAATTGGTTTAATCCTACAAAAAGGTATAATTGCTAGATCACGTAAATAAAAGGCAGTGATAACTTTAATAAGTATGTGTAGTTTTAATAATGTTGATTTTTCAGATATTGGTAATGGAAGATGATGCTGCGTCAATAGTGGGTACTATAATAGTAGTGGACTATGAGGGGTGTACCATGTCTCATCTGACTCTAGTAAATCCTAGTATTCTCCGGAAACTCGTAGCCGTCAGCCAAGTATGCGCTTAGCCATATTATTTTATTACTGTCTAAGACAAGTAGACTTAGATTAGATGATATCAAATATTTCTGGCCATCACTGGAGCCATCATACTAAAGAGATATACCATACTAAACAGAATTTACGGTACACTTATTTTTATACAAAGATTACTGGTCTAACGTTAATTGTCTTCTCTATAAAAAGTGGAATAACGGATGTAAAGTGGTTATAATCCTATTATTAACAATAATTGTAGACTAAATTTCATCAAAGTTATAGCTTTTAAAGTTTATCTTTAAGCTCTTAAGCTTAGGTTTCCTAGAAAAGCGGTGCCGTTAACTAACGGCCGTCATTTTACTGTTGTTAATAACGGCCGTCTTTACTTTTTATCATAATGCAAAAACATCATTTTCGCTCGTCCAAGTCACGTTTCCACTCATGGTATTAATTAAATATGGGCACCGCTACACGCGAAAAACGTTGAACTAATGTTTATCACCGCTATGACGGCTGTCATGCAAATGACAGCACCACTATTTGACGTTACGGTGACACTCAACGTTCTCTAGAAAACCTACTCCGATGTTATTTATAGACAACGTATGGGTGACGACACCCAACGTTACATTACGGCCGTTGGATAACGGCACTGCTTTTCTGGGAAACCTAAGCTTTAGCAATCGTTCAGACAAGGAGTAACTTGACCAAAATTTTAATATTGCGTAGAAAAGTCGCAAATGTTCTTGTTCGACGTACTAAATCTATAATCTAAAATCACAGCCAATCGAGACATGTGAGTCGATCGCTCCAAAATCTGCATATAAAAAAATATATATTTTAAATCCTTCTAAAAAGGCCCCTCTATATAACATAATTTTTAATAGTAATAAATTGATTTCTTCACCTAAGAAAGTTAAATTTAAAGACAAATTCCAAATCATTGTAATCGAAAAGCCTGTGGGGCGTAGGCGTCACGTTGGGAAACTCTGCTATAAAAGGGTTGTGGCGCCACTGGTTTAGTTTTAGTTTATAGAAAGCGCAGTTTGTAGAAAAAATACTTCTGGGCGTGTAATGAATCTGGGCATCATATTACATATTATCTTATCTGGTATCTACCAACCAAACGAATGTGTCCAGATTATTATCTCCTACGACAATATTACAATCAATTTTTTTGTTGATTTATGCATTTCTAGAATTGTGTGTTTTAGGATTCACTTCCACTTCGTCTTAAAGGGAGCCACCATCTTAATGTTCCGTCTGGCGTTGAAGTTATTTTCAAACTCATATCAGGATTCTTAAACAACAAAGCGAAGGAAAGGGTAGGTTAAAGGGTTTTCATTTCTAAGAATTAATTTTAAGATTTTAATTACAATTTGTATATGTTAAAAATGTATATTAAACCAGAGCGTCATTATCGTCATCATTTATTTATAAAATGAGGATTATTATTAATAAAGTCTTTTAACTTATAAAAGGTACTGATTAAAATATAAGCGATATGAAAGTGCTAAGATGTCTGTGTGATCGTCTACAAATCTTAAACAAAAACTACAAATTTTCTTTTTTTGATTTTTTAGACAAGTTAAAAAATAACTCCCTCTCTTTAAAAATTACAATTATAATATTCAAAAAAAATATATAAATTGTGTTAGTAATAGCTTAAATACGAAGGTATACACAGAGTTAAAAAAATAATTAAACATTTAACAAATTTTAATAATATTTTAGCTAAAAATACACAAAACATATGAAGAATTACACGGGGTGTTACCAAAGGAAGTTATTCCAGTTGAATATGGTGGAAGCGGAGGAACAGTAGCAGATATAACTAGTGAGTACGAGAGACAATTTGTCTTTGTAAATACAATGAAGAACCTCCACAACTTCATGGCTATAGCGACTTTTGACTGTAACGTTCGACGTTCCTACAAATATAATTGGGTGTAGGGATCTAAGTTTTTGGTACAACGTTTATGACGTTTGCCATAACGACTTAAATAATCCTTGAATATAAATCACTTTGTACAACAATCAGATACTTGCGATGTAACGGGAGTCGTGTAGCGGCTGTTTTAATGAATCGTTTGTAAAAGACTACTAGAAATATTTATTTCTTTCATGTGTTAGTGAAAGAAATAAATATTTGTGTTTAAACATTTCTTATCTTTTTTTTACATTCACACAAATGGTCAGTAACTGTGGAGCCCTTTATATATATCAGCTAAGTTTGTAGGTAAGCGTTTCGGAGTAAAATTTATGGGTCAGTTTGAAAGTGATATTCTAAGTAGCAACTGGGTAAAGTATACTATTGAATAAGTATGCCTGCTAGACGCACATTCACTGTTAAAGAAAAGGCGGAAATTATATGAAAATTGAAAAACGGTGGAAACAATGCTGCTGTCCAAAGAATATAAATTTTCCCATTCAACAATATCTACGATGTGGAAGAACCGAAATGAAATATTAGAATGCTTTGAATGCAAATCCTTAAAAATTAAGAAAACCCGGCGTGGGGGGCGTCGGCTTGCGGTTTTTTTAAAATGAAGGGAAGACTTTTTTTTTTTGTTCTGCCAGACATTTTGCCAGACTATTTGGAAATATAGATTTTGAGTATTCATTTCGTCAACGACACGATATTGTAGTAGGCGAAGTTTTTAGAAAAGCCCCTGGTTTTTCCCAAAACCTACAACTGATAAACGATGTGTTAGGTGTTGTCACAAAGATAAAAAGATATTGTTTATTTGGTGATGGAAAGGATATTATAGGTATTGAAGAAGTAATGAATATTCTAATCTAATTTATGTCACCCTGCAGCGAACACTAGCACACAAAAATAAATTGAAACAAAGTAATATTACACAATACCAGTGAATAACTATTTGTGCAAATGTTTTTAATATAAATTATGAAACACATGAACGTGTCTGTACCTTTGCTTGTAACGACTTCCGGATATAACGACGAAATTAGAGTGGTTATGTACGTGTTTGGTAAATTCCACTTCAAAAAGCAACAGCTTTAATAAAACCAGCACTAAATAAATTTATGTTAATGTTTATAAAAACACGAACAAAGGCATTAAAAGACATAAAGATTGTAATTTGAACAAAATTTTGCGAATTGCATTACATATTTACATAATAAGGTTTTCAGTACTATTCATATTCCTTATATTTTAAATGCTTTATTCCTCATATCTTTACAGAATACTGGGAAAATAAAGTAATTGAATACAAGGATTGGATGAGAGACGAAATGAAGTTCGGAACTGATGAGTCACTTCGGCTCGGAAAACCACAGGGTGTTGACATTTCCAATACAGGATCCTTCAGAGCCCTTGAAATCGATTAATGTATAAGATTATTAAATAATAATTCAATAGTTAAAACGCATTTAGGTAGCGTTTACTTCCACACTAGATCGGGTGTACCAAGTTTAGGGGTGTTACTTGAAAAGATTATAAAAAATTATAATATATTTTACAGAATAATGTTTTATTTGAACCTTGCGCATGAATATGAATTAATTATGCGATACTTACTGTACGTGATGAGAATAATATGTTAATCTGTACTACTAGTTATTTTAACGCGATATATGTACCTACATCGCAATATTATCTTGACAATGCGCATGGACATGGCTAAATCAAGCGTTTAGTTGCAATTCTATAGTGGAATATCGACTATTACAGTTATATACACGACTGCATTACAGAATATTTATTGAGAAAAACTTTATATTTGAAGAACAGGTAACCGAACGGGCGTTGGAAAATGACTACCCGCATTGAACTATAATTAATTTTAACGCATTTTTTTTTTGATTTGAGAAATAACAAATTTAACTTTGGTTTCTTAACAAGGATGAGATTATACAGTTTTTTTCCCAATCGACAATGTCAAATGATTTGCATTTTCAGGGGATTGATCCGTGGTGGATAGTTTTCAGGATAATAGCTGAAATGTCTCATGAAAAATATAAAACTCTCGCCATAGCGTCGTGGTTACTAGATTAAATCGAAGGTTTTAAAAATAATCTACACTAATAGGATCTTATTAATTCAACACCAGTCAATATAAATAAGACAAATTGTTAGTTAGTGCATTTTGGCGTCGCTTATAGTTGTAATAAAATTCGCCTGGTATATATTGTCTTTATAAGGACTAATTATTGTTACAACTTTAACGTTAAGTTGTAGTTATCGCAACAGATTGCCAAGTTGTAAACAAGTTTATTAAGTCTTTAAAAAATTAATGGTTAATGCAATAACATTATATTTTTAGCCTTATATTAGTTCACTTTGAATTCGTGTTGTGAGCGGTCGCAAGGTGAGTAACATCTGGGTTTAAAAATATTTTAAAAACTTTCATTCCTTTTGAGTTTTGACCTTATCGTTTAAGTAGATTTTGCGACGTTGGCTAGCTTGTTTGAATATCATTTAAGGTATTCTAATTGGCAAATTTAATTTTAAAATTCTTTTAAACTAATGCAAATAATTTATATAAAACAAAATTGATACCATTACAATTTAACTAATACCTAGTCCTTAATCATTATTCGTATAACATTTGTATAACGTAGGAGATATTTATAATTATTTTTTTATTTCATTCACAGATATATCATATATAATATGTCAAATCTAAGACCAATAGCAAAGAGTTTGCAGGAAAAATGTGAAAAGGAATTAAATGAACAACCAGAAAGGTTAGTTTCTGATATCAAAGCCATTAGGGACTGGCTTCAGAAACAACCTCACTTACAAAGTGTAAGACCATGTAAGTGTAACTCGCAATTTACACGAATAACAATTATTTATTAATTTTAAAAGCCTAATATTATTTCAATACAACTAGTAGTTAGTTTACGTATTTCAACGCCATCTGTTCGTTGTTTAGGAAACTATTTAAAGAAGTTAGTTAATAGAAATGTAGTACAGTGCCATCTATTTATTTATGATGAACTAGTTAAAGGTTAGAGGTGAATGGTTACTTGCTACCGTGTCATCTTTTAATACTCTGTAGAAGTAACATAACCGAAATTAATTTCTCACGAACTTACAACTACAACGACATCTATCAGTTACCTTTCGAACTATCATAAAATAATTTAGTTCGGTATGGTTGCGATGTAAAATAGAATTACCATTAAAAACGTCTTTGTAGTTTGGCATGTATGCAATAGATAGAAACATTTTAAGGAGTACTTGAGAAAACTGTTTTAAATGTAAATATTCGGATTATTAAATGTTTTTAGCTGACCAATGGCTATTATCTTTTCTACGTGGTAACAAATTTAGCCTTGAAAGAACAAAGGAAAAGTTGGATATGAGTTATACTTTACGGACTTTGGTGCCTGAGATATTTAAGAACAGAGATCCTTTAGATCCGAAACTTAATGAAGTACTGAGAAAGGGGTAAGAATTAAACATATCTTACGAAACCCCACCCCCCCCCCCTTCATAGTCAAACGAGCCTTAGGGAGACAAAAATGGAGTATTAATTATAGAATTTTTAGGGTGTGTTGACCTCCTTTATATTTCTATTTTTAAAATCTTAAGTTTAATGTATTTTTTAATTTTAAAAGAAAAAAATTCTTTAGTTTAATCCATTAAATAGTAAAACTCCTAATTCCGTGAAAAATAAAAGTGAATTAAATTGTTAATAGTTTATTTATGATGTTATTTTTATCTAACGTTTTTAAGGTAGATTTATGAATATTTTGTAATAAATCCCATTTTCATTATTCTAGTTCTTAAATATTAAAAACCAGTCTTAAGATGTGCAGCGTCATTTATTATTAAATTTAAATATGGCTCAGACATAAAAATGAGATTTACCCAATATTCTTACGCGCATATTTGAGCATTATATAGCTTCTTAAGTTCTTTATGTCCAAATTAATTTCGTTTAGTTTTTTATTATAAATGAGTTATCACAGTTGTATCTAGATTGGGCAGAAAGTGCTATTATAAATTGGAAATGGAAATGCTCTCTTATTCTTAATTTTCTAGTTTAATGTTAAAGTTGACAAATCTTATTATCATATAATTTGCTCTTCGTGTGAAATGTCAGTAGTACGATCCAGTATTATTGAAAAATATTAATTAATTCGACATAAATTTAAAATAAAATGTTGAATTTGGTTACCAGTATAAAAACTAGTTATTTTGGATTTTATCAAGGTATGTCATATTATTGAAATCATAAGACATAAACACACTCAAAAAATCACTAACCCTTTCTTGATTCGCTAAGTCTAGTAATTAATGTAAACTAAAACCTAAAGCGTAAAATGAAACTTAAAACGTACGTAAGAATATTGTAGTGTAGTATAAATAATTTCGGTGGCGGCCCTTATTTATTAGCGCCTTGTCACCCAATTGCACATATGGGCGGCGCGGCCCTACGAATAACCAAGAAACTAAGGATACAGTATTTTGAATTTGGAATATTAATGCCTGATTTTCCAAAAATATCCCTTTTGTAAAAATGCTCTTTTACAACATAAAAACAATATTTATAAGCCTTATTATTTTGCCTGTGGCTATATTTCATAAGTTTCAACTGTGTTGATTTTAAACTTAATAATTTTAATTAATATGCCGCAGTCGTGGTCGTGGACGGGGTGTATGGTGAGCTATCTCCTGAGATATTGAGTTTTTGGCGAAACAAATATTGATTTAGTTGGTTGACACAATAGGTGCCTATAAGGCATACATAAAATAAATCAGGGAAATAAACACTTAATCGATATTTCTACGTGATTAAGCGGAAAAGGGTGCGTACGTAGTCCCTACAGCAGCGCAGAAATTGTGACATTAGCGTTCAAAATAAGGCTTTATTGGCTTAATTAAGTAATTAACATTGGTCGTAAGATCTCTTCAAATGTTTATGTTTTTTATAACCTAGTAAAAAGAAGCTCCGTAGGACTTTTTTTAATTTTTTTGGGTTTCAGCTTGTTTTTGCCGTTGAAGAAATGTGCAAAAGAGGATGGTTGTCGACCTATGTTTGTGCGGCTCAACCTTCGCGACGGACCCTTGATACCAGTCGAACTGCTGATGAAAGTTGCTTTTATGATTGTCGAAATTATGATTCGAGATGACGACAATTTCCTTATATGTGGAGAGGTACATGACTTAATGTTTTTTTAGCGTTTAGGTCTTGGTACAAACTTGGCAAGAATTTGCGAGAAATATGGAGAATTGGCCAGTTGTAGGAAAGTCGTCTATCAAACTGAATATTATGTTTACTGCAATTTAAGGCGTCCGTTGGACGCGCTCAGATTAGATCGTGGAGTGATGATAGAGGGCCACTTCGGAGCCTACACACCGCGTTCATTTATTTATATAACTTCAGTCAACTTCTTTATCATTAATATTACGATTTAACTAATACAGGGTTGAAAGCGTTTAATTAGGAAGTGTTTAGGAAACTTATAATATTTAAGGAAATGTCTGAAATATATACTGCTAATAATTCTTTACGCCTTCACACACATATCTTGCGCAGCTGAAAAAAATAAGATGCATTTTTGTACCGGAGATAAATGCAAATGTCGAGTAAAAGAAAAAAAGTCCCAATTTTTATGCTACTTGTATTTTAGTCCCATAGACGAAGTTTTCAGGCGCCAGCTAATTAATAATTAAGGTTAAATCTAGATGACGTATAGCTCGTTTTACAAATGTATTCAGGCCACAGAATATTTAATATAACTTACCTAAGTACTACGTTTGATGCAAAAGTTAGTGTAATTTGAAATTACCTACATATTTTCATTTTGAAAGTAAATAGTGAACTCACTATAACCAGTATTGCCAGTTTTAATATTTTTTTGTGTCATAGACTATTTGTTTGTCGTAGACACAAAAACCTTCATTTTAAAATTCAGATATCAAACTTCGTACACAACCCTTTTATTAATGTTATGCAGAAAGACAGACTGAGGTCTTGGTGGTTATTACATAATAATAAATAATTAATGTCTTCCAGGAAGTGATAGTGGACTTAAAGAATATAGGAATGGCGGCCCTGAGTCAATGGACGCCGGCTTTAGCGAAAAAAGTCGTAATGTCTTTTGAAAAGGCTTTGCCAGTTCGAATGAAGAACATTCACATATTAAACCCACCACCAGGATTGGAAACCGTATTAAATTTAGTAAAGGCATTTATGAGTCAGAAATTAAAAGATAGAGTACGTATATTTAATCAAGTTATTCTCCTGTCCCTGTTTAGGTGCACCAACTATCAAAGCGTCAAGAACAAAAAATCTAACCCCAAGAGTTAAAATTATAGATAGTAGCAAACGTATTATTTGTATATTATAATATCTATTTTTTTGTCATGCACCACCGCTATGTGGAACCAGCTGCCCACTGAAGTATTTCCGAACCAATTCGACAGGGTCCTTCAAGAAAAGAGCGTACCAATTCTTAAAATGCCGGCAACGCACTCGCGAGCCCTCTGGCATTAAGACTGTCCATGGGCATTGGGCGGCGGTATCACATAACATCAGATGAGTCTCCTGCCCGATTATTCCCAAAAAAAAAAAATTTGAAGGTGGATTATTAAATAATGAATTGCAAAACACGATCAAATAGGAATTTAAAGAAAGAAATGCAAATGTTATAAATCAATCCAAACACATCAACGAAATTGAGAGAGAGTCACTCCGTTCATTCCACTCTTTCTGTGTAATTGTGTTTACGTTGTGGTGAAAGAAGACAGATTAGCTAAAGTGTTTAGACAGTGTAATGGTGACTGATAATATTGAATCTGAATGGAATATAGATATTGACATAGCAAATCTACATACAGAAACAAGGTCTACATGAGAAATTTTTGGGATAGTGCTACAAAGATCACGCGCTTCGATGTTCCCCTACTACTATTGTATTAAATATGCCTTTAATTAGATAGAGTTATTCATTTAAGACTACTTAATAAATTATTTAAAACTTTCAGATTTTTGTATATGGCCAGAATTTGAATAGTTTTCACGAAAGATTTCCACGAGAGTTATTACCAGAAGAATACAGTGGTAACAATGGAACTGTACAAGATCTTTCTGGTAATTAATGTTTAGATTTTTAGCTGCAAAGAGTAAATAACGTTTTTGTGAATGTCATGAGTCTCTGGGCCAAAAGAAATGGCTTATTAATTATTAGTCCACCACGTCATTTTATACGTATGGTATTTGTACGACGAAGCGTAACTAATCGAATTCTATCGCCATTTCAATGCTGTAGAATCCAAAACATAAATCCATTTATTTTATAGGATAGGTTAATTTGTTACTACGAGTTAGTTTTTAATGGGTTTTGTTAATCGACAATATGTATATACAAATTAAAGTATTTTACACTTACAATACTTCTAGGTTTTACCTAGCTAAAAATTGTTTTAATATAATGAATTGTTTTAATGAAACATACAGATTACTGGACACACATACTTGAGGGTAATCGTGATTGGTTCCTGGCCGAAGAGGAAGCGTGTTCAGACGAGTCCCGAAGACCTGAAAATCCAAAGACAACCACTTCTCTATTCGGAGTAGATGGGTCCTTCAGAAAACTAGATTTTGATTAAGAAATAGATACAGCCGTACTCGCTACTCACTACTCAGAGTCGTTAGAGAGGTTATAAGCTAAGCTTAATCGTTTAGTAAAGATTTAAAAAAGTTGTTCCATGAGAAGCTAATAAGTCCTTTAAGGTCCTTTATTTTTTCTGATTCAGTTGTTGCATTCCTTATTGAATTGCTGTTGAAATACAATTGTAATAAAGTATTGGATAATATAATCGATGACTCTGCTCAACGACTATTAAAGATAATAAGTAATTCCAAATTAAAAATTATTAATAAAAATTGCTTTTTTATTAATAACCAACTTATTATGTAAGAAATACCTACTTAGTAAATAAAAATGTATTACAAAGCAAATGTCCGACCCAATACCGACTAAAACTTATAATAATAATTAATAACACATATTCAAACAATACTTACGCTTCAAATTGGAAGCCGCCTTAAAGTCGGTTATAAATGTATTAAGATCTAAAAATTATTAAACACGCACCACACGTCCCAAAAATTCTTATCAGTCGGTATTCAGATACAATCATGATATAATTCAGCATCAAAGATAGATTTGATGGACGAGTGACGTATGCATCGTATTATCGCGGTGACGGGGCGCGGGCGCCGTTACCGCCAGTTGTGCTGCGCTGTCGACGCGAGTGCTCGCTGCGCACTATACGTTTGCATTAATTGTGTTTGTTATGAACGCGCTTTCTCTATTCATTCGGTGTGTGTGCAATACCTAAACTTATGCACGTCACCATGTCACAAGAAAACCTTAACAGCCCGGTCTTAAACGACCTTCCGTCGTCTGGTAATGTTTCGGAAAATGACGAAGTAGTATATAGAAAACACAGAAACACAGTGAAACAAATGATTCTTAGGTTCGAAAGAACCGGTGTACATCTAGATGGTTCATGTGAATCTTTGGAGAGGCTAAATAATCCGTTTTCAAGTAGTTTAACTAGTGTTGTAAGTCCTATTCACTCTCATTTCCAGCATTTGTGTCCAGTGAAAACGCCACTAGATAGACATTCAAATGTGTCGGTGAATTCGATTTTATCCAATGCTTCCGAAGGAAGTTATGAATCCAGCTCATCTGGGTTCGTATCGGATAGGAAGTCCTCATCATTAAAACCTCATAGGCCAGCTCCACCGCCACCACCTGCATTTAATGACAGTTCTTCAATTGACAGTAAATCACCCTTACCTGAAGAAAAGCCAGTTAAAGAAAGACGGTACTCCTACGCTACTCCTTCTACATCACCCGTAGCTCCGCGAAGATCACGTCAACCGCCTGTTATAAGGAGAAAATCATCAATTGCTGGCCAAGGGCATAGTGGAGAAACATTGTGGTCGTATGGTGTTAGGCAAAGTGATTTAGAGAAATTGTTAAGACTTAAACTTTCGGAATCGTCGGATAATGAAGAAGAAGTAAAACCTAATGTAATAGACACGTCGTCTAGTGGGAGTAGTAGTAGTAGTAGTAGTAGTAGTAGTAGTGATTCCAATGATAGTGATAAATTAAAGGAAGGGGAAGAGTATGTAGTGAGTAACGATGAATGCAAGGCAGATGCCATATCGACAGACCGATCAACGGATACATTAATGAACGATTATGAAAGTGATGAGGCAGATAATTTATCGGTTACATCTGCAGATCCCAGTCATTTTGACAACGTTAGCATTAAATCAATATCATCGTTTGACATGGTTCCGTACCAAAAGTATGATAGTATTACGGTTTCCTCCGACGAGTTTGGCTCCGAGGTGTGCCATGCTCCCGACACTGAGTTTCTCACAGTGAGTGCAGTTAACGAGTGGTGTGTATCAAAGTCCACGGAACCGGTATTATTACCAGTAGAATCAAAAAAGGAAAAATATCGAAGGTAAGGCACTTAACATTTATCTAAATGCAATTTTCTAGTCTTTCATTTGAGCATTTTGCGTATATGATTGTGAATAGGTATGTGCGTATCTGATAATTTATCGTTTTACCAATGAAATGCTGATATGATTAGCGTGTCTTTGTTCTATTTCTTGTATCTAAGTGTCATGTTCTGATACTATTGGTTACGCTTGATATAGTCAAACTCACTATAATGCATTCCAATGCAAAAGATAGTATCAACAGATTGAATGGTAGTAATTGTTGATGAACACAATACACAAGCAAAATTATAAATGCACACAAATAAACAACATTCGTACTACGTACATATGTGGTTTCACCTTGATGTTTATTCATACGAGTCAGGCAGGTAGTTATCATAGCAGATATAACCTCTTAACTTATTTTAATATATAGGCTTATTTCATATATTTCGTGTTATTTAATCAATTTGAAAGGATGTAACGTTGGTATTTATAAAGGAGTTGCTACCTACACATCCACAAATTAAAACAAAAATTAAGTATTAAATAAAATACATTAAAAATTGTCTAGAAAGTAAAAATGTTTATCATGAGTCTTACCGCGTTTAATAGGTTTTTAGTGACTTTGATAAATAACTTAGCAATTAGCAGATACAAATAACCTAAAATGTTATATTTTTAAATACATATATTTTTCGTCACTATCGCACACGTTTACAAATGATGTAATTTCTATTTACTTAAGCCGTTCTCACAGTTCTCTCTTTACACGTAATTGAAAATCATTTGGCTCTTTGAAGCCATGAATTTTCTAAATATAACTTTATGAAAGTATGTTTCATATTTTTAGAAATTGTTTATTCAAGGACATGGTATCTTCCAGTATGACGTATGGTTTCGTATATGTTTCTATTATGATCTAAAACAATATGTTATTATTTTATATAACTTTGAAATAATTATCTAATTTACGATAATTGTAATTAATTTAGAAAATATCTGTTGATAATTGACAATTATTGTAACTTACTGTCACTATTCTGTATGGACTATGTCACGTATAATGAACCTTTTAATGGTGTCATTTTCAAAATCAGTTCATTAGTTCCAGAGATTACTTCATACAAACAAACTCACAACCTGCTAGTCTAGATTGCATAGTTTCGTAAATGTATTTCTCACTTAATTATTTTATTAGTTTAATAATTATTATGGTAATCAAGCTCTTTTATAAAGATAAGAACAATTATATAGCGATATTATGACAGTGCCAATTATTTTAAATCAATTCTTCTAAACAATACGCGTGGGCTATCTAAGCCAAGGTTATATAAAAATGTGGATAGAAAGTTAAATTACCTGCTACAAATTTTAATATCCTTGACCTTCAAACTTACAAAATTTGAAATTCATATAAAACTTTACCTGAAAAATCTAATTTTGTATTGTACCAAGCATTGTATCTATTATACAAAAATCTGCTATTTGTTAATACATTAAAAGTGACGTCATAATTCCCACAGTTTTTATCTTTCCTAATAAGTTTAAGTAACGTTTCATTGAAATTAAACAAGTTGTATTTATAAGAAAGCTCAACGTAATAGTTGTTTCTGGGGCAACTACTGCAGCATAGAGCCGATATATTCTGCCTTTTCATTGTTTTTAAAATACGAACACATACGAATCATAAACAGTTATTGTTTTGGTTTCAAACCTAGAATTACACTTAACGCGCATACCATCTCCGTTGTTATTGAAATGGATATTGGACAGCATCAATATTTTGGGTTTCCGGGGTGAAGAAATCATTTTGCCTATACCCTTTTCTAATTTTACAGACGAATGACGGAACGCGTCAATGAGTTGATACACACAGAAAACGTATACGTGGAACGACTCAGGCATGTTGTGGAGGATTACATTCCCGAAATGTCCCGGGAAGATATACCAATCACGCTTATGGGTATGAAAACAGACATTTTTGCGAACATTGAACGGATATGTCGGTTTCATGCTGAGGAATTCCTGCCCGCATTGAGAGACTGCGAAAATGATCTAAGAAAACTTGGACAATGTTTTCGGAGATTTGTAAGTTATTTTAAGTTACTGAATTATGTATACAAGGAATAATTTTTGGGATATCGACGGTGATTTAGTTCCTTGAAAATAAAGGTTACAAATATTTAACTTGCAGTAGGTTGATATAGTCGTCGTGTCCGCTATTTAAAACTATGAATCTACGAATGCATGATGTAGAAATCACGTCGTCAATTTAGAAGCCAGTCTAGTTGACAAAACTCAATGTGTATTTGTAAACACAAAATACAATCTTCATTATCAAATAGTTTGTTTACATAGAAGTACTTAGCGTGGTATTTACTACATTAAGATTTGTTTTAGTTTATAAGACACGAACAAATGGATAATTTTTTTAATGATACAATTTAACTAACAGAGTATAAATTTAAAAAAACTTTATATAAAATTTGGTGCCCAAAATAAACCAATACATCAATATTACATAGAGAATACAAATAAAAACATTGTCTTAAAATACAGAAATGCATTATCATGATCACAAGGATATCGGTAAAAATGCTAATAATAGATTCGATGGTCTCGTTACAAAACAATGGTGTCATGGTCCGATATTTAATGCGCGTGATTCTTTACTTATCTTTTTAGAATTTTCTTTTTACCAACTTTCACCTTCCCTATTTGTAGATGTAAAATATATATAACTTCTTGATGGATGTACGGAATATATATAAAAGAATTGTATGCGTCATATTATAATAAATATATAAATAATCTTGCGTTGATATAAATAATGCGGTAAATATATTAAAATATGTTTATATGTTAAACTCCACTGTTATTTGTTTTGATTTGTGAACAATGGTAATAGACATGAAATTAATACGAATGTTAGTAATCAATGCATACTATAATATAATGCATTTTTGTGTGTCAGATTTTCATGTTGTAACGGATCAATCGAAATCGATGTAGTTATTCCAGAACAATATTTTATAGATTCTTTATAGAAGATAGTAAAACTAGGCCCTTCTAAAGGTCTAATTTTGTTGCCAACAGTTTTCTGTAAGAATTCTGACATATTTCTCTAAAAGAGCGACTTCAGAAATGAATCGGAGTACACTATTTGGGGTATCATTATCTCCTGATTTATTCGCAAACCTATACGAGTATAAGCCATTACAAAGCCAAGAGGTATATGACCGCTGACAGGTAGCTTAGATGCAACAACAATCTTATCACCAGATCAGATAGGTATTAATACAAGCTAATAATATTTTTTGTTGCAGGAACAAAAGTTTAATATGTATGTGATGTATTCTAGAAATAATAAAAGAGCAACGAAACTTGTTTACGAACACAAGCATTTTTTCCAGGTAATTTTTATTTGCATTATTTTATCCACCTACCTATGTAACGACTGTTAAAATAAGCTTAGTTGGTAACGCATGGTATTAGAATAAAAAATATATAGATAATTATAGAAGTATCTTTTGAAATCTTGACTACGGGAACTCGCTGGGAATGAATCTCAAATATTTTGCAGTCTTTATTCTGTTTGAGGGACTTCACTGAAGATATTATTAAAGATATTTCGTAGTTTTTTTGGACTTCGCTTTTGCTTTTCTTATGTATTTAGTTTAGCTGATCATCATTCTTTGCATACACGTCGTAGATAGGTTCAAAGACAGATCGGTTTCTTCATGATGTTTTCGTTTAACAAATTTCATTTCATTTGATAGACAGAATATTTATTTGCAGTCTATAGAATAAGTTATAAAAAATAATTCCTAAAAGCACTTTTCTTAAACGAATTACAACATTAGGAAAATATATAATTGTCTGAATTAAATGATTACGAAATTGCTATCAATGTTACTTAGCGGATGTCAAACCAAGCTATCTGGTTAATATTCAGAGTAGTTGTAAAAATGGGGTTTTCCCGCATCAACATTACACACTAAACCGTTTATTGAGATAATGATGAAATTTATTCGAAAGAATGTGAGATACATCACGAATTGTCACGAATACACATACTTCCTCATACCACGCCTCAACCCACGAATCACATTTTGTTCTTGTGTGTTTTTTATATTAATTTCTTTCCGCGACTTCACTTGCGTGACATTATTTAAGGACTTAGACAGTGTATTCGATGTCAGCTGCATGTTCAAATGCAGTTTTGACGATTGGGGTAGATTATGGTAACTTTCAAAACAAATGTTTGATAATATAATTGGGACTAGTGTGTGAAAGCTTTTAAATTACTTTCAACTAAAAATGTAATATGTATTCGTATATATGGAATTATAATGGAGTATCTTGGTTTTATTAATTAAGCACTTGATTTAGGTTTATACCTAATCGTGCAATTAAATATAATTAACATGAATATAGGCTAAATAAAATTATAAATTTCGGTGTAGTGAAAGCTCGTACGTCTGTCACGCGCCATTTCCTTCCTAACAAACTTCTCAGTCTAGTTAGTTGGATGAAATTATGCTCCAGTAATTCCACATGATCGTGATCGCACATCCTATTATATTATTTATTAAATAAAATAATTAGTCTAAATTCCACCGATCGTACATTGCGGATATGTTTGTTTCATTCTTTAGCTCCACAGATTACTTATTATGATTATTACATGACCATAAGTGAAATAATAATATATCCAATCTGAGTAAAGCATTTTCTTATTTATTAATTAACATATCTATGAGATGAGTGATGGAGCGATGAATGATGATTAAGATTTGTGAACTTTGAAAATAGTTAAAACTATTTTTCATATAGCTGGGGGAAAAAGGGCAGGAGGCTCACCTGATGTTTGCGATACCGCCGCCCATGGACACATACATTGCCAGAAGGCTCGCAAGTACGTTGTTGGCCTTTTAAGAATTAGTACGCTCTTTTCTGGATGGAGAATAGTTTCGGAAATTTCAAAGTTATTGAATACCGTAAAAGTATCAAGTTCATATGATGTATGGATTGCAAAAACTCTTATTAACAGATTTTATAACTTTCTTTATATCCAAGGAATATAATTAAATTAAAAAAATATGAAAATGCATTTGCGTATCCCCTGCACACGAAAGCACGTGTATGTGGTACTTGATCCCCACCAGAATCTCTGCTATACAGAGACTGGGTAAGCAATACCCACTTAAACCACCTCGGGTAGTTCCTACAAGGCGTAATGAAGTACCTTTTGTTTTATCGGGAAACGAGTTTAGATACATACATAATACATATGTTATACGTTAATACATATCCAACTAAGCAATAAAGACATTCTGTTATTTATTTTTTCTATCGCACCTCATATAATCTTCTTTTTTGCAGCGACGACAATTAGAGTTGGGAGATAGATTAGATCTCTCTAGCTATCTTTTAGAGCCGGTTCAAAGGATACCTAGGTATAAGCTATTTCTTGACGACCTCGTGAAAACTTACATCAATTACGAAAATGAGAGATGTGAGTCCGACTCTAGAATATCTAAATTAAGTGTGGACAGTGACGAGACAGGTGGAAGCAACGGAGAATCTGAAAGTGATGAAACGCCTTTAGAAAGTTTAAAACTAGCGAAGACTATGGTCGAGTGTGTTCTAACAGCGGTTGACGGGATTATGGCATTGGAGAACATAAGGGACTGCCCTGTAAGTAAATTTTTTATACTACCTCTTAAATCACTGTCTATTGATAAGGGACATATTAAAGTCCGCCGCGTATAAGATCTATCGGCGCGGCGCTTTTTACGATGTAGAGGAGTCGAAAACTACCTTTTGAAGGCTTAAATTTTTAGGCACTACTTTAATTCGTTTCTATATGAAAAATAATTATATAAAACACTTCCTTGCAAAAATCAGTATAATTATAGATATATATGAAAATAATTTAATAACCAAGCAACAACTGCAAGAAAAAATAACATAATGAAAGCCCCAGAGGTGCAAAACTATGATCTTATGAAGTATTAATAATCATTTCAATATGAAGAAATGAAGAAAATAACAAAACCATTTTAACCACGGTTGGTTGGTATTGAACATTATTATATATTAGGTGTTTCTTTTTTATTGTTCCATATTAGGGTTGCCTGGAAGAAATCGTTTGTTAGCGATAAGGCCGCCCGTTGTCTTATAACTTATGTAACCTGCTTTTTATTTTTTTTATATGTAAAAACATACATTGTATAAAGTATAAATAAATATTATAAACTGTAGTCTGTGTATTTTGTTCTATACGTTATGATATAGTTTCATCAAAATCCGTTTCTTTCACTTCTAATAATATTTAAATTTAAAATTTTATGATATCAATAATTCCGATGTGAATATGCTTATTTTGTTAATCTTTATTAAATACCTCAAGTATGTAATCGGATTTCTAATAATCGATAAGGTCTTTATAATATATTATGAACGTTATCTGTTTACTTTGCTAAAAGTGTTTTATGTTTCATGTTTAATTTAAAAGTTAAATGGTAATAAACAAGCTACAAGATTCGAGTATAATATATTATTATGACTCCATCGGTAAATGAAAACAAGGGGATTTTGAATTGACACATAATAGCTTGCACAAATGCAATTTCTTATAGATTTCTGACAATTCATACATTGACTGACACACAACCCTTTATGGGTGTCCATTGTACATATCTGATTTCTGATCTGTATTATTGGTAGTTTTTTTAAAGAGGTGATTAGCCTGTTGTGCCAGTCTCACTTTAAGCCCGATATTCTAGAACGTCAATCAAACTTAAATCTATTTTTAAGAGCTGTCAAACCATTTTTTTTTGTTTAAGTATATGTTTGGTACGAATTAGAATATGGGCCTAAGACTAAACTAGTTTTTCATGTGTTTCGGAATGAAGTATGTAGTTTTAATTGGGTCATAAAAAGAGAAATAATAGTTCACCGGAACTTCGACGATACGACTTCTGCGTTGAGAATCGTACTGGTCTATCACTCTAAGCTAGGCTGTTACCATTTCGTGACTTCTAAAAATTCAATCTTCTAAAATTCTTTGAGTATAAAATTAATTTTCATAGAAATAAGAGCTCAAATTTAGCCTAGAAGTTCCTAAACTGTTGTGTTTGTGGTTGTAATATTTAAGCTATCGAGAACTTACTTGCTACCGATATCTATCAATATCTATTAAGAAACTGAACAATAAAGTAATACATTTTCCAGCCACATTTGAACCTGTTGAATCAGGGCAGATTGCTAAGACAGAGTGAGTTCTACGCGATGGACAACGCGCGCCGGCGGCGACAGCTCATGAGAATCTTTTTGTTTGACAAATTGGTGCTCATTACAACTGTTTATAGAAAGGTTTGTCGTTCTACTATAAAATATATTTTAACTTTATTCTGAGAATTGTATTTGGCTGAGGTTTCATAAATAATAGTATAAAAATGGATCATGATTTTGAAGTTAAGCCTCTTCTATTCCATACTATAATATGCAAAAAGTTTATGATTGAAGTGAGTGTTACTTTTGCCAGTACTTTTGTTTGTACAGTACAAACTCAAACTCATAATAACTTTATTCATATACGTATAGGTAACCAAGTACATTTATGAACTTCAACAGAAAAGATGTTGCATTGATTTTAAATTTACATTTACTACCAGTGTGCAAGTCAAGGGCTTAGAGCGGGTAAGAAGAACTGGCATGAAACTCTCCGCCACTCTTTTTAATCGCCATGTTTTGAGTCATACAAACTGTTTGTAAAGCAGAGCAACCATAAATATTTGAACTGGTGCAAATCATTCCCAAGATTTAAATAATCGTCAAATTCATAAAAAGCTTTATTGATTCATTTACGTTTAACGAGAGTTTTGAATTTATTCAGTGATAATTCTCTAATTTCGCTTGTTGTAAAAACGAATACAATTTCCATATGAGGAGTGGTTTATTTTCTGGAGCCTGGTTGGTCGTACGCTTAGATTTGTTCTGTTTCGAGTTAGTATTATTATAAATAAGAATTTACCTTTATATATTTATACCTAGCTGTTTTAATCTATTTTACTGTCCTGAAATACCTCATGAAAGGAGAACGTTAAATAATTCTAAAGTAAAAAATTCTGATTCTATTGACATCTTCAGTTCCACTGTTGGGTCTAATAGTAGCTGTTAATTTAAAAGACCGCCACCACGAAGACCCCGATTTCACCTGCTTCTCGTATCTAGATTTCAGATAGCATTTAAATAATAACTATTTCAAAACGCAATAAGTACGATACATTTTCAATGCAAAAAACCTTAAAATGCGATGACACAAATTGATTTATAATAAAGAAAATTCAAGTATGTTTTCGTTCGATTAATGATGTTTTTTAAATTGCACCAACTTCCAAGAAAGCTAAGCGTTATTAAGTTCGCAATAAAGATTATTTGTACGTTAAATCAACGTCCCAGTTATCCTAAAAAAATGTATAAACAATCTTAACGTAAACAATTTATAATGACTCATCATATGATTCATCAATTTGATATTATATCAAATGGCATTAAAAATGAATACATTTTATTCCGTATCAGTTTCCACTACTGGTATATTCAATAGATTTTAGTGTCGTAATATGCAATATAATATGAATTATTAATATTGGCTGGTTATCGGATTTGCAATTAGTAACTTCGTGAAGACTTGACTCTGAATTTTACCCTTAGTTCCTACTTATTTATTGAGTTGAATGAGTTTCGGTCTTAGAATATGTGGGCATAGTTCTTACATCAAATCCCTTACACCAGGGTTATTACTTCGTTCAGCATTTATAGTATAATAAATTTATTTTCCAACCTTTACGTACCTTTATTACCTTAATTCAAATATTGCATATGTATACTAGAGTTACATACATTACCTTGTAATGCTTTATAAACCAGTAATAAATTATAACCATACTTTTTTGCGGGTAGCGATATGATTGTAGTTCTTAATGATAATAATGTTATGAAATAGCAAGTTCATCTATATTGAGAAAGTTTATCATTGTACGTAATATACAGGGCGTCCCAAAGTTATGGGACGTGAAGGGAAAGTACCTTAAATATCGTAGATAGGGTAAAATGAAAATTTTCACGCTGTTCCTTTCTTTTAAAATACTATGTTACTTAAGAAGAGTTATTAGTGTTTGGCCCTTCTTTCGATTGGCATCATAAAAGTAGGGTTGTTGTTTTTTTAAATTTAAGTCGGTTCGATTCCCAGACGAGGCAAGTAATTTTTAGAAAATCTTTGAATGCAGAATTACTAACTTTTAAAAATAACATAAAGTCTTCTTTCAGTAAAATACCCTATCTACGATATTTAAGGTACTTTCCCTTCATGTCCCATAACTTTGGGACGACCTGTATATAATATCTGGCCATCTGGCCGCTAGGCGTTCTTTAAGGCACTTTCTGCCCGCACCACCTTTTTGTGAAACCAGCTGTACCGCTGCTGAACCAGTATTTCCAAACCGATACGACTTAGGGGCCTTCAAGAAAAGAGCGTACGATTCCCTGAAAGGTCCCCGCTAGAACCCGGCGTTGCAGGTGTCCATTGGCGGTGGTTATCACTTTGTTAAAATTGTCCCGCTTGCTCGATTGCCTCCTGCCCCATAAAAAAAATATTTTAATAATAACACATGTAAATGGTATATAAAATATAAATAAGATGTCTAAGTATTTTTTATTAAAGGTCACAAAAGTATATTAAAATATATATGGACTGAGTCCTTCACAGAGTATAAACTAAATATATATTTGTCTTACAGTAAATTTTAAATGAAACATAAGTAACAGCAGTAATTGCCCTCTGTCCCATTTCGACTTTAGTCAGTGGCAGGAGACATCCTTAATATATTTAAACAGTAATTTGCCGTTCAATAATCCTTATCATTAATTCAAATAAGAATCATAGAGATAAAAACTCCGGTCGACCTTATCCTACTAAAATTACGTTCGTGACCAAAATGTTTAATTCAATACGGATTATTGGACTGTATAGACTTTGAGACGACAATTCGTAGAAATAAAACTACCTTTTACGTAGATACTTGCACTTATTGCGTATAATGAAATAGTAGGAAGATATTACAAAAATAGTTTATTACGCGGCCGCGCCTCGGTGGCGTCGGAAGATTTCGCAGACAGAGAAATTGTTCGGACTTGTTTTAGTCTAGATCTCGTGTAGTAAGGGAAAAAACAAAACTCTTTTGATATGCGAAAACGAAATGTTTTTCCGTTTTAACTAGTTCACAATCTGTAATTTACATGTCTGTCTTTCTTGTTAAGCAATGTATATAATTAAAGAAAACACAAACAAATTTATAACTCTTTTTTTTGACATTCATAAGTTTACATTGCCTATATGAAAAAAGATTTTTGACTTTGACTTTAAAATACTTGCGTGTATCTATCTCACAGATTACAGCTATAGATTTTAAGTGTAATAGCGGACATTAAGTTTTAACATTTTTATTTAATAGCAGCCGTTTTTTCTTCTTATTACTAACAACAATATTCACACACATGGATTCATAAATATTTCTGTACCTACTCAAAAGTTATAATTTTATGTGCAGAAACATTGCTCGTTGTAATAAATTAAGACATGAATATGTCAATAACAGCTTATGATACATTATAATTAATACTTAAAATGTATGTAATCTTCCAGCAATTGACGGTCGAGTTCTTTATATACAAAGATCACATACCGGTCGATGATCTCGGTATAACGGCAAAAGAACACGACCAATACAAATTCAGCATTTGGTACAAGCAGAGGAATCTTAAGTCTTACAAACTTGAAACAAGGGACCCAGTCATCCGGAACGGCTGGGTGGAAGAGATCACCTCACTTCTTTGGGAGCAGGCGATGCAGAAAAAGGGTATGTTTTATACAGACATTATAAGCTTTAAAATTACAAATCTAGGTAATTTCCGAACCGATTCGACTTTTGATATTTCATGGAAAGAGCCTACCGATTCTTAAAATGCCAGATGAGCCTGCTATTTACCCGTTCTGTAATAATACATAAATTTCATGGCAACTAAATCAGTATCAATTTGATCAGGTTTTAATAATAACTGTATTAAAACTTAATATATATACAACTTTAGTCAAACAAAGGGCCGTTGTGTTTTCGTTTGCGTTAAATTTGCATATACATGGTATACATATTCAAGACGCATATATATCTCTATAAAAAAATGTGTCATGGGCATTTCCGTAAATCATAATAAAAAAAGTTATTAAAAACATGACTACATACGGCTAAATTGTTGTAATCATTATTAAAAATAACCACTAAAACAACGAAAATATATACGAGTATGTTTCAATAGTCCACAACCATGATGCGTGGAAAATGAAAATTTCATTCAACGTCTTACAATATCCTTAGAAGTTGGCTATGCATGAAATGTAGGTACTACATTAACAGTTTATATGTAAAGTTAAAAATATAATCTGCTAACTATGCTAAATTAAGAAGTTCTGTTATTTAAACAATTTTATAATTATCACTACGAATTTCATTATATTTTTATTACATGTTTATTCTCATTTTAACTATTTTAGGGTGTATTTCGGCGGCAAAACGTAACATATATTTTCCAAATCATGAAACAAGACTTCAATAATTTTGTTACGTTATTAATACCGTGAATGCCAAAGTCAACTACTGTTTGTTAATCTGTCACTTCTCCACGAATCCATTGAAAGTTTAGTTAACTAATTATTGAACACATAATACGTATGTTTGGATTTCATTTTACATCCACTGATTCGCAAACCGCAATACACGATTTATTTGTTGAATTATTATTAACAGTGTTAATTTTACGCTTCACTAGCGTTGCCCTGACTTGACGTAATAAAGCCATCCGTGGCTTTGCTTGCATATTTTTTGCCTTCGCGGAAATTAACTAAGCCGAAGAATTGTTTAGTGTTTACTAGTGTTTTTTATATGGACAAATAAAGTGGCGCTTCTGGCGCGTATTAGACTTAACCAAGAATACTGCCAACCGTTTCAAAAATGGCCAATTTTATGTGACCATTGTATAATGAATGATACGCCAGGCCAGTTTAAATAATTAGCATTATATTATGATTTAACAAGCCCATGTATGTTCTCTTCGAGATATAGCGGCATAGCTTTTATATATATCTTAGCGGCCTATCATAGAATAAACACGACATAGAACTTGTCTTGTTTGTTACATAGAACCGGTTAACCGCGAGCAGCAAATTTAATATTGATAGGTACCCATCACACTTGTTCGTAACGAGTGTCGCTTAACTTCACTGATCAGTACACACAGCCGTTTGATTGTATTAACATAAACAATGTTATACGCATCTGGTCCAAGTTAATGCGAGAAAACTTTTTAATTGGTCGTCATCTGCTCCCGTCTTGTACGTGACAAGGGAGGGTTATCTGGTGACGCATGCGCGGTCGTTGACTTGTTTTATTGCCATGTGCACTTGATGCGTCTGCGCTTGTGGGAACGGCAGGAAGTTATTTTTTTTAATATTAAAGATTAATTGGCAAAGCGGATGCTATACGTAAGAGATATGTCGCTTATGTACTGTTCATTTACACAGCTGTACTCAGAGTAGTTTTGTTTAAACTTACTAAGGATTAATAAAGATACAATCAGAATCTAAAAATGGGCATCCGCTGACCTATACTTAAATCAGTAACTACTGATCTTTCTCTACTGACTTATCAGACATTCCATAGTTAAGTTGTACCGTTGCTTTATTTTAGATTTTTAATTATTCATTAATATGGTTCATTAACCCTGAACGAGCCTGTTAGATCTTAACAATTTAATGATAGCGTTGTAAACGCATTTCTTTATTTTAATTAAAAAATTAAATTTTAAGGTAATATGTGTTTATACGAAGAAAATAATCCGATACTAACACCATATTGGTATACAACCGGGGCAAACCTGCGCTCTACAACTCGCGGGAACGAATTTATCGTGACAACATAAATTTTAATTTACTACTACTGATTTCTTTAAAGCAAAGACTGTTTTGAAAAACAATAGCCTTTTGTTTTGCAAAATTACGTCGGTGCCATAGGAAATATGTCACCGAGTGACTCATGAAATATCGAAGCAACTGATTAGTCGATCGGTAAAAACTGGTTCGTTTTTGTTCTAAATAGATAATTTGCAAGCATTATCGATGCTTTTTGATTATCACTGTGTGATACTTGCTTACGATTTTGTGTGAATTATAATGTTTGATACATGATGAGAGTCAGCGTCTTAAAATGAAGCAAAACCGTAGGTATCAATTATTATGATATAAATAAATATTTTTTAACTGCTAAGAAACTATTTCAATAAAATTGATACAAATAATTAAAGAATTATTGAAAATGTGATGAAATGTTCCACGCGAATCATAATTAATGTACATATTTTGTATTTATATTCATTAATGTTGGAGCAGCGTGCGACTCTCATCCCTGAGGTCGTGGGTTCGATCCCGGCTGTGCACCAATGGACTTTCTATGTGCGCATTTAACATTCGCTCGAACGGTGAAGGAAAAGATCGTGAGGAAACCGGCTTGCCTTAGACCAAAAAGTCGAAGGTGCGTGACGGGCGAAGGCACAGGAGGCTGATCACCTACTTGCCTATTAGACAAATGATTATGTAACAGATACAGAAATCTGAGGTCCAAACCTAAAAAAGGTTGTAGCGCCACTGGTTTTTTATTTTTATTTATTTAATTTAGTTTAGGTATAGTAAAGCTGGGCAGACTGCTAGTCTATTATATAATAGGTGTTATAACCAATTCCTGTGTTAGTATATGAATTAATCGATAGTATGTGATATGCCAAGATACCGTACAATGGATTGGCAAAATTGATGTGTATCAAATGTCAGCTTTATAAACAAGGCCTCCGTTTCCTCTGTTATTAGATTTCAATGTGAGAACATTATTTGGACAATACTGGATTATACAATCTAGTTAATCACATAATCATCAATTCGATTTCAATTAAATGTGTATTTCGAAAAGTGTGTTTATATTTATTTGTAGGAGTTTAAAAATATATAACCTACGTTACGTACACAAGCATATAACACTATAAAGCGAAAAGAAACTACTTACGTTACGATTGCTATATTTCATAATAAATTATAATTTATAATAAATTTTTGCACTCTTTTAATTGAAGTGCTATTACGTTTCTAGAATAAGACAGGTGACTGACTACCTTAGTTAAGGGCTGACCTTTAACTAATATCCATCATCCCATCAGATAAGCGGTCCTGGCGGATAAATGTGTGAATATAAACTGTTCCAATTTTATAAGGTCATCATTGAGTACATTGACACTTTCATGTTTGTGATACTAATAGGATATTTAAAGATTTAGTGAGGCCCTTTACTGAACATTATCGGCCTTATCAGCTGTGTTATCACACTTATTTAGTCAGGTGCGACCTCGACATAATATTTGTCTCTATACCTGCAGATATTTAAAATGCATTGCGGTAATTTTAAAAACAACTATTTAATAATCGCACAAGCCTTTTACTGGTCTTTGGCTTTGACAGTTTGAGAGGAAGCGCGAAATAAATAAGACAGGTCGATTATTAAAATTATTATAAAACAACATCTTAAATAATACTTACGCCTATTCACACATATTTAAAATTACTCTAGTGAGCTGGCAGTGTATCGCGCATCTTCAGGTATTATAATTTTGGAACAGCCACGTGAGTCGTGTCAGCAGTTGGTCAATGTTCAAGTGAAATTTGAACACAAGTTATAATATAAAATCCAGTAGCGCTATAACCTTTAGTCTTGGCCTCATATTTCAGTATCTGAATCGTGATCTTTTGTTTTTTGTAGTAGACAAGTAGTCGACTTTTAAGGCCTAAGACATATGCCCTATTTCTCATGACGTTTTCCTTCACTGTGCGCTCGCTTAAACCACACAGTGAGAGACGACAGTTGGGGTTTAATTCTTCAACATCAGAGATGAGAGGCTAGACCAACACTACTCCTACAAGTTCTAACAATCATTTCAAATTAACTGCTATACTATGTATGTGTATGTAGGACAAAAGATATTTTCTCCGTTTAGCATTTTTGAGATATAATTTGTTTTAATATATTTCAGAACTTTTGCTTCAACAACGTAAGAAGAGGATATCCATGGTATCAATGGACAGCCAGAACTCAACGGAAACAGATGGCAAAGATGACAAATGTGAGCATTCATTCTAGTTCTTCAAACATCTCAATTTAAGCAAAACGTCATATTTAGAATACTAATTTAAATGTACAAATAAGTGGTAATTATGGCACTTTCTGTTAAAATATTAACATATTAATTATTAGTGTTTTTCCTCCAGGTTTTATAGACTTCGTTTTCGTCAAAATGCACCAATAAGTTACTTTGTAGGTCAGTAGAAATTTTAGGAATTTACACATGCTTTTGGTTTGTTTTTCCTCTTCTTTCTTAAAAGTTTTGAACCACTTTTAAATGGGTTTTCTTTGTGGCTTGGGAATGTAATTAACTGTTTTCATTTTAATAATTATTTTTGGCTGTCTACGATTTCGTTTGGTTAAGAATCGTGATATTTTACATCCTTATAATCTGATGTGTGAAATAATGAAGCAGGAGAAAATACAATCCATATTATCTGGGGTTTGAGTTCGATTCTGGCAAAGTAATAGATATTTTAGGTAGAAAAGTTAACGCCACTCTATGTGACAACAATAGTAAGTAACAAAAAAATCGAAAATAATTATACAGATGGAATCATTTAGTGATTGATATAAACTGTGGATATAGGCAAAAATACTTTGGCATAGGGGTATTGAATTAGGCTCGTGATCAAGTGTGACCTGATGTCAAGGATTATTTATTCTTATTTTGTATGTCGTAAGTCAAATATAAATTGAAACATGAATATTCAGACTATAATGTTCTAGCTAGCATTATGATTTTGGCAAAATAGTTTGTTTCCTTTTTTGTTTATAGAGTTTCCACGAAGTAGTACGCCTTACTGTTTGATATTAAATAGTACTTAAACATTTTAGTAAGAATTTTATTGTACATTTGTTTGCCAGTATATCTGTGTCGACTTATAAATCAGGTCGAAACGTAGAATAAAAGTTATATTTGTATCTATGAAGACATAATGTATTTTTTATAGAAGATCTGCAAACCGCCCTTGGATGGACAATGCCAGAATGTTCGTTCACACATTTATGAATATTGACAATTCGTTGAAATATCTTGAGCTAAGAAATGGCGATAGAAATATAAAGCAATTGTTCTTTCATTTCAGACAATTCCCTTCGAGGCGTGCCTGGCGAGGTTCGTTGTTCAGGGGACAAGAAAGTTCGCAGAACAACCTGGTATTGTGAATGAGGTTATCTGTGTGGTGCCACTGAATTACTAAGCCTTTACGAGAGACGAGTATTATGAATTATTTTGCCAAAGAATGCTGTCATTAGACAAAGTCAAAGGGTAGCAGAATGTATATGTTCATTCTGATTTCACTTACAGCTAAGTAAAAGTGTTTAGCAGTGGAGATGTATCGACTGTGGTATAGGCATGAATAATTATCGTCTTATGAAATTATGCGCCTTAATTATATTCCGTGGTCACGCGAACAACTTTCTTGTATTAGTACAAAATGTGCAGATGTACTCTCAATGTATTTTCAAAACAAAAGCCTGCACCTTCTTCCAAAGATTAATTTTAATCGATTTGCAATAAAAGCTCAACTGTACATTCAAATATATTTATTATTATATATAATACTAAATCCTAATGTGATGTATTTAAGAAGAGTCATAACAGTCATTATTATGATTAGAGTAAGATGAAATGTATCTTTGTTATTGTAAATTATTATTATACTTGTTATAAATTTTATAGTATCCTTAAGCTTAAAAATCGTAATTGTTTTATTTCAAATTAAATATATAAACCAATTAAAATAATTTGTTTAGTTATTATACTCAGTATTCTGTGTGTAACTGTTGCCCAACCATTACTTTACCTTCTTAATAGAATATAAAATTTTTAGGATGAGAATTGATGACATTTATGAATGTATGAAAAAGAAAAGAAAGGAAAGACATTCACTAAAAATTTGAAATATAATATATTTCACAATATTACTGTTTAAATTTATTGTAAATAATTATTTATGTGGGATTGATATATAGCCAGACATTTAACTATATTGATATTTTTTACACTTCCGGCGGGGTTGATTTTTGCCTGTTACCTGTTTCATAAATACGTAGTCAATCTTTGGAGCTAAAGTAAAGTGGGTTCGAATCCCAAATACAAATAGTTTTAAGCTGATAGAGCCTCGACCTAAACACTAGATCCCACCATAACAAAAAGGTTTATAAAACACATTTTAAATTGCAACTGTTCTAAACAATTATAGTAAATTTTTTATACATTTTACGGCAAATGCAATCGCGGGTAAAACGAATGTAAAATAAAGTAAGAAACATAATTAGAAGTTAAGTGCTTGTAGCAAGAAATAAACGAAGAAACACGTTCGTTGAGATCTGCAATGCGAAAAATTATAGCCTAAGGGGCAAAGTGGGGTAGAATATTTCACCTGAAGGCTACATTTTATTGCTTAGCGCTGTTTTCAAACAATTGCATTAATAGTGAATCAAGGCTTCGCGGCAGCGACGATGACTTAAGTATTAGTCTTAGTACAAGTAACGTTTTATTTATTATTTTGAAATCTTTTGTTACAGAAGTGAACAGAATTGACTTGAAATGTGTTACATGGAATTTGAACTGCTGAATTGATGTAACCTGAGTTTTGGAGATAGTAGAAGGTATATAGGTACATATATATCATATAGGTAGGACTTTTAGGTGCATGCCTTTTTAAGTGTTTGACATTTACGTTTACCAAAATTGTCATATATTTTAGATAAAAGATCTCTATATATATATAACATTAGTAGTATTAGTAGTAGTATTTTATGATGTATGATGTGGTAAACTTGAATACAAATAAAAAAAGAAGTGCACTTTTTGCCGATAAAGTTACTACACAGAAATTTGAGACTCAACTTACCATACATATAGGCTACTTTATAAAAATACCGTATGTATATAAGTATTTATTTAGAATTACTCCTTATAAGTACATAAGCCTTTAACTAAAATTAGACCTACATATTGATTTTAATAGCTAAACCTTAGTATTAAGGTTATATATATATATATATAATAAATTCTTGTCTAGACAACATATTAGGAATAAAGTCCGGGTTTCAGTGGATGGGGAGCTTTACGGCGTATCTCCGAGCTTGTTTCGTCAGGAGTTCTTCGGAGGCATCTTTAACACTCCCTCGAGGGTTTATTTTGTATATTCGCAACACGAAAGCAGCAATAAAACTGCGTTATCCCGGTCATTATTTAGTCATCACCCAACCGCTCCTAGTCTAAAATAAAATGCAACTGAATGACTTTTATGCCGTGCACTAGCGTAAAATATTTATATTGTCTTCCGCTATATTACATTCTAAATCCTACGTAATGTAAGAATCCCTACAAAATAGGAATAGATTACTATCTATTTGTTTCTGTTAGAACCTACATCCGATGGTAACTAAAATAAGATCGTCTCTTCTGAGTAGTTAACTGGAATAAAGATTTGCTTTGAGGGAAGCATTTATCAGGGCACCAACGTGGTTTGGCCTGTAGCTCTTTTCAATAAATGAATTAAAAATAAACATTCCACTCAAAATGGACATCAGGTAGTATGATAAAATAGATAATTTAGCTTGCATAAAAAAAATACTACGAAAGAGTATTGCTGTGTTTATAATTACAAATAATTTAATTTTTTCCTATCTTATAACAACTATTTACATTTGAAAATAATGCCAGCTCTTAGCTCTCTTTTGGCAACCCGTGCCTAGAAGAGATCGCCGCTAAGCGATTACTCCGCCCGTTGCACTCAGCGTTTAGATTAAGATTTATTGTTTTCTTGTGTGCAAAGAAGTGTTACATAATTCTTAAAAATAATATTTAAATTATTTTACTTCCAATTAGGAACGTAAAGTTTAAACTAATATGTCCATTAATTTATAGTGCGAATGCTGTCGAGAAAAGCTAGTAAGGCCGCCGGTCAAGCCAGGTTACGAGCTCACCATTTTATGAGGCTGCCCCGGGCGCTGCTAAATCTTATTTATCCCGGAAAACATAAACCGTAGTCACAGCAAAAATTAATTGGCTTCCACGCTCTTTCTTGTCGCACATTAGGGTTTGCGACTTTATTGTATCTGTTACCCAATCGAGCTTGCTATTGATAATAATAGTGGTTTTATAGGATTTGTTTAGTACTTTTTTATTACTCGGGTTTTATGTTTATTTTCTTCTGATTTTGTCATGAATTCTTACGATTGGCTTATGATTTTTATTATGGAACTAACTGAAGGAAATATGATGTCGGAGTTATTTAATGTTCGTGGTTTTGTCACAAATGTTTGGATACAATAAGGCAAAGCCTCTTTCGGGTTTACAGATTAAACGTAAAATCGTAACACTGCCTGTACATTATTTTACAGATAAGTTACAATTATATGGAGCTAGCAATTACAGGAGATTTTTTATTGACGCATTTTAATTTTCGTTGGCCTCTTTTAAGCAAAGAATTTTGCTTGTTTAGAAACGTTTTCAGGTCAAAGTACTCGTTCAAGGCGTTTTATTATGAGTGTTATAAAATCTTCAAACATTTTTCGTGAACTAGTAAAATCTTACTGAAATTTTTATACTTGTACTCTCTTATGCGGTTAAAACTAGGAGCCCGGCGTGTTTTATCGCAGTCTGTTCTGCTTTTTATTTTTATGAGGGGACCAAATTTGGCGTGACGCTCCAACGACGGATCATAACCGTCGGACACAGCAAAATGTTTGCAGTGCTATTCGTAAAACAGGCGGTGTTTCAAACATTGCATAATATTACCCTCGATTTTGTTTCAAGTTTATTTTCCTTCTGCAATCGCAAACTTGTTTTATGACCTCAAGTTTGGTCTATGCAAACACTATTCTCGAAGACTCATAAAACTTAGTTTGGAGTGTTTTTAACAAAATTAGTGATAAGCGAACAAAAGCGTTGTTTACGGAACTCGGATGTACTTGTGCTTACTCGACACGTTTCGTATGGAATGGAACAATGAGTCTGCAGCGGAGATCACACATGCTCCCATTTTAAGAATACCAATCCAAGTAAATGGGATTGGAGCATGTCCAGATTCAACAAGACGTAATTACAGTAAAATATGATATTACATACATAAATAACAGAACAGATGACCTAGAATTTTGTTAAATAACGAAAAGTTTGGAATATTTTGATGTAGAAATCCTGCCTGATGTTTTGGCTTTATAAACCTGGGCTCGCGATATCCTTGTGAATGTCGAAGCCATACTAGAGTGAGCGTGTAAAATGAAAGACATTGATTTTGATAGGTCGAATGGAAAGACGAATCGAATAAATGCTTTTATTAACGTGGCGCCTCAGCATCGCCATTTGGTGATGATGGGGCAATAGCTGAGCGCTTCGTCATCTCCAAGAGACAGCTAAACTATTGTGTACATACATTTATTTACGTTTCCATATTTCTGTGCCTGTAGAATAAATGTTTTGTTTGTTCACATTCTCACCCTCGACGTTTGACACCACGGATATAATGATGAACACTTAATAACGGCTTCAATGCTATACTTCATCTCTAATTATGTTAAAAACAGTTATACATTAATATCTAACTATTGTTATTAAATATAAGGTCTTCTCTCGGTCTCCTCGTCAAGTCAAGTCAGTCTTGTCCATGGATCGGGAGGGACTTGTAGACTAATCTATAAAGAGACCCTCAATTATTTTCCTCCAAATTAAAATAACGCAGGGTTTAGGGCCCTTACAGCAACAGTAGTAGAGGTTTTCTTTATTTTGCCGATTGTAAGGTGATAATGAGGGACAAAGATGTAGTGCCATAAATTACAATGCATCAGTAAGGCGCCGTTGTTTAGACACCGTATCACAGGCTGCAGTGATCCATTGCGATGGCCGCGTAATCCTAGCTACGGGCTTTGTCTCACGTCCAGCTTACTTTTATTACCGTGCATGGTGGAATAAAACAAAATTGGCGGGAATTTATGGCCCACAACCCTGTAGGGGTAGAAGTTTTCAATTTGAAACGAATTGTTTGTCGTGTAATAAGGGTATTGTGGGTAATAAGGCAACGTCGCGAGCTTACTTAAAACTACTTTCTTGGTTTTATTATCTGAGTGGGGTGTTGACGAGTTACGCGTATTACTCTACGTAAATCAACTACTACGAATTATATACCACGCCTGTATTTTCATACATATTACTTA